TACTCCCAATGTTCAAGTATTTTACCTGTTTAGGATTTTGATGATTTCTTGTCTTGTTTTGAAAAACACATGATACTTTGTGCATGAATTTTGCAAGAAAAATAAAAAAATTCTTTCATTAAAACATGTATTTCCTCTCTACCATATGTAAGTTGTTTGTCTGAACCACTGTCAAGGCCTGTAAGGGCTTTGGGGGGAAGTATGTGCGGTTTGGCACAATTTATATGAATGCCACAGAATACAAAGAGTGTAATTTCACCTAATAGCTGCAAAATCTCTTGCTAAAGACTCGTTTGTGTATGCTGTTTGATTATACGTGATCATTTCTTGTATGGAGTATTGCTGTGGTCGTGTGCTTTTCCTAATGATAGTGGTCCAGGACAATAGGCCATTGAAATGCATTGTCACAGGACAGATGTGAAGGAAAGTGGACAGGCCCCGAGCAACTTCGATGTAAAGTAAAGCTTCTGATGTAATTTTCATAATATTATCTTTTCAGTAATGCTCATCTGCACTGCTCATAGTACTACCAAAATTCAGAAAGGACATCAACATTTAAATAAAAAAATATAGTGGAGAGAGTGGAGTAAATTAGTTTTGGTCTAGAGGATCAGCTGCGTCCAGCCAAAAACATTTCCAATCACAGCATCAAATCTCAGATTGATACCATTAGCTTTGATAACCCATGTGCCACAAATAATTATACATTTTTAATATACTAGATAGAGAGCAATAGAGAGATACTTTTTGATCCCAGGTAGGAAGAAATTCAGGTGTTCAGCAGCTGAAAACACATTTATATTACACATACATTAAGTACATCAATTATAAAAATGTATTTAAAAAAAACTGAACTAACTAACATGGCTAACATCAGTACACATTTTTAACTCATCCAGGCCTGACAGCTGAAGGAACAAAGGATCTCTTAAAACGTTCCGATCGGCAGCGCAGTGATAGGAGCCTGTTGCTACAATTACTCCTCTGAACGGCCATAGTGTCATGCAGAGGGTGTCTGGAGTTACCCAGGATGCCCTGCATTCACAGCTCCCACAGAGTCCATACTCCTCCCCATCACAGAGACACATTTCCTGATCAGCCTGTCGAGCCGGTTACTGTCTCTGAGGTCAGACTGACGCCCCAACACGCACTAGCACGAGCGTCCACAGACTGGTAAATTATGTGCAACATTTGACTGCTCACATCAAAGAGCTCCAGTCTTCTCAGGAAGAAGAGTCTGCTCTGACCTTTCTTATAGACAGCATTGGCCTGAGCTGACCAGTCCAGTCTGTGGTCCAGGTGGACTCCCAGGTATTTGTAAGACTATTTCACTTCGATGTCCAGTCCATCTAGTGTGACCGGTTGATGAGTCGGGCTCCATCTACATCTGCACGTGATAGGTTATTTACCCTGAACACATTTTCTATTCATGACCCTCATTATAATTGTTTAACTTATTGTCTAAAAGATAGTTTGGTGTTATTTTCTAATTTTGTCTTTTTTTGGGTGGAATGTCGCCTGTTTTATAAATAATGATAGTTCTACACCACTTCTACCCAAACCTTTTGAGCCGTGTCTCACCTTTTTCATTGGAAACAATAATCTGACCCACCACCAGCTGAAACATTCAACTTTTCTTCCTTTATAGTGCAGCAATATCTGCATGTGAAAGCTAAATCCTCAGACCTCTGATACTAAGCAGGACAGGGCCTTCTTTGTTCTGTGATGGGAGACCTCTGGGAACACAAGGTACAGTAACACAGTGGGGCAGCTGTGGCTCTAAATTGCCAAACTGTCTTTGTGTCCTAGGAAAGACACTTCACCCACATTGTCTATAGAGAGTCTGGTGTGTGTGTGAATGGTTTGTGGTGGTTGGAGGGGCCGATGGCACATACTGGTTGCCTCGCTTCTGTCAGTCTGTCCCAGGGCAGCTGTGGTTACAGTAGTTGGTCATCACCACAGTGCATGGAGTGAATGAATAATGACGTGAGAAGCTCCTTTGAATGTCTAAAAAGATGTCATTCTCATCAGAGCGTTTTCTACAGAAAATCCAACAAAGCGCAAGAAACGTATTTCTAAATGTAATCTTTACTACAAACGTTTTTTTTAACAATTGATTCACCGCACTAGATTAAAGGGTTATCTTGTCATTTATATTGGCATGTTTTATACTGTAATTTATATTGGCATGTTATATTCTGTAATATGGTTTTGTGGTACAACACATCACATAACAAATGCAGGCGAACATCTGAATAAAGAATATAGTGAAAAAGTATTGGCTTAAGTTATTGTTTTTATGTTTTATGTTGTAAAGTCTGTGTTCTTCCACTGTAAAACAAACTCATACAATCTAGGCCAGGGGGAGACAACCTGCCGTACAGTTGTATGAAAGACAAACATTTAAATGCATAAAAGGTATGTCAGTTTCACATATTCTATGCTCAAAAGAACTGAATAATACAAAATTATATTTCAATGTCAGCTGGAATTCATGGTGCAATTAGAAGCTGCATATTTAACATAAATGGACTGGCAAAGACCCACGCTTCATGGATTTTTTTGGGGGGAGAATTCAAATAAAAGGAAATATGTGAAGGATGTTGGCTGTGCTGAGGTGGCCTTGTTTGTTCCCCTGATTGACTTTTTCCAAATGCAATTTCACATGTATGTGCTGTAGTACAGACGCACACATGATTCGTTCAAGGTTCTTTGCGTTCTTTCTCTTGAGGCGTTTGGTTAATGAAACGTATCGCACAGATGAATGAAAACTCCAAGAATGTGGTACTGTATTTGTTCAGGTAGAAACCACAAAGACCACAAAGCACATGTGTCTCCTGTGTGCCCTTTGAAAGTTAGTCCACAAATACATTCTCAATCTGTGAAGGAGGCTGACCCCAGAGGAACTGATATTTTTAGTGAACAATTATAATAAAAATTGTTTAACTGCTATCTGGAATCCATCTGCCTTTCTTCCAAAAGAGTGGCTACTTTGAGCATGTGTCACATGCCAGTTCAGTAATCTATCACCAAGGTTTGAATTTTGTATGATTTTGTCCATTGCTTTTAACCAGGGGATAATTGTGCTTAAAGCTTAAATAACAATATACACATGCATGAGAAAGCCAGAACTAGACCTCTGAGGAAGGGTCTCGTTAGAACTGTGATGGGAGACTTCTGGGAACACCAGGCGATACAGTTCGATACAGTTGCCGCTGTAAAGTGCTAAACTGACTGTTACGGACAAAGTCCTTTTGGTTTTGGTATTTTGTTTCTCCTTGCCTCCACCTCTCAGACCCTCCCACCTCCAGCTGAGTGACGTCCCACTCACACCTGTGGGTAATCTGCTGGGAGGTATAAAGGGCCGGGATCGAGACCAGGCTCTCTCTCTGCAACTTCGACCGTCCGTTGGACCAGTGGGTCTTGTCGCTGCACCTCACCTCTTTTGGAGAATTTTTGTTTTGTGATTGAACAGTGGTTCTTTTGCACCTCTTTTAATAAACCTTTTACTTTTTGGACCTCCGCCTCCCGTCTGTTCCACACCCGGTTTTAATTTAGTTATTGAGCCACACTCCTAGACACCACCACCTAGTGGCTCGTAATACTGACATTGCCTCTTGTGTGCGTGGTTAGAGGGGTTGCTGGTACATACTGTTTGTCAGTGTTCTGTCAGTATTCCTCATGGCAGCTGTGGCTACAGCAGTGCATCACCATTTTGTAAGGAGGGAATAAATAATGCCATGCAAAGCATCTTTAAGTGTTTTATTAAAACAGATACATTATATCATTATTTTAAACTCACTTTTGTCAACATTTCTTCAAGATGTATTTCTAGTTGAGCACGGATGGTATGTTTCACTGAGCGTCTTTGTTGTCCTAGACTTGTTAGTGTGTTGTTTTTGTAATGAATGATTTGAGCAAAAGTGCTGAAATTATGGTCTTTTATTTGAGTGTTTTCATCACCTTTCACAGCACATGCAATTTCACTTCAATTTCATCTCCTGATTGCTGTGTTTAGTGCTAATCGTTCCAATACAGAAGTGTTGGCAGTGATAGAAACATGTCTATTTATTCAAATTGATGATTAATGACAATCCTTTACGAAAAATGAATTAAACACATTTTTAAAGAGATTACATAGTACAATTGTACAACGGCCAAAACAAAGGAAGTGACTCATGATAGGAGCAGCAGCAAAGTGCACACACTAAAATAGTAAAAGCCTTGTATGTTTATTTACAGGTTTACACAACAGTAGACTTCGAACCAGGTCAAGATATCAAAGCTGTTTCTTGTATCCCTCTTATTCATTGTTTTTTAGCTTTGTGCCCAACATATCACCAGTGGCACTCACACTCCTAATGTTTTAAACTGTAAAATACTATACTGGTTGCTCTGGTTAGCAAAATGAGCAGTAGGTTAAATCCTCCAGCTCCGGCTCTGACAAGGCCGAGAATCAACATCTGGAAATGGGTCCCAGTGGATGACACATTTCCCTACACGGCTAGATAGATGTGTACCTCAACCTTAACTTATCTTAAGGTATGGCTTTTGAGAATCACACTTTATTTCCTGATGCATGTTACAACAGGTGAAACGTATGCTGTAACTGGAGCTGCAGGAGACCTCAATGCATAAACTGGAGATTATTTCAGTGCATGTGTGAGGATACATCTTCAGGGAGACTCGAGTCAGGAAATCCACTAATGGAGGATAAAAGCAGAATAAACATAACATTTGTGTTTATTTGAAAATAAGTCTTCTCACCTCTAATAGTATTTCACATGCTCATAATCAAACTGAAACGTCAGTATTATTTACAAAACATGGGTTTAGAGGAAAGACATTTCCAGCCTTTGTCTTAATGCAGTCGAGTACTTGTATTAAGGGGTAACAGGAGATCATGTCATTGCACATCATCTTGACATTAGTACAAAGTTAGAAATGCAGATGCTTTTTTATCTATCAAAGCCCATGCAGCAAATCACCTTGAATAGGTGTCAGTCCTCATCAGGAACTGAATCCTCAAGAAAGTGACAGACTGTAATAATTCAAAACAATCAAATGAACAAAATGTTTTATTACTTTTGACAAAGTATTATTATTCTTTAACACACAATAAAATTCTCCTTTAAAGTGCTTGAAAACATGATTTAAAGTCATTGGTCAAAACAAAACACAATAGAACAGAGGTCTTTAAACCTTAAAAAAAGAATACCGTTGTTTATCCTGCCAGATGTGACTCTGAATGAACACTAGATGGCAGAAGAGTACAACCATTTCTGTATAATCACCTGCAGCCTATCTTTCGTTTCCAAACTATTTAAAACAAAATTAGATATTAAAATTAAAATAATTATCAAATTTTGCACACCACGTGAAGCCATTCAAACATGCTTCCAACATTATAACAGTACTTTTGCAGTAAGGCACATGAAAAGCATATAATTAGTCCTGAGTCAATGTATGAAACTGCAGTACATGGACTTTACAGATGAAGACATTTTTCAGTAAATATATGTAGACACTTGTTTTCCTGCATCCGATGCAAACAATCTACTCAGTTACTGTTACATTTGTCCATTCATTTCAATGCAATTATTTAGCATACAGTTAAATATTTTGAAAAGGTATTTATTTGGTAATAAACACTCAAGTTAGCATTATCATCAATGATAATTTGTCCGTCATCTTGTGCATGAAAGCAAACAGTGTCTGGGAGAATTAGAAGGCAAGTAAAAATTTATGTAAAAGGTGCTGAATGCTCATCAGTGAATTCATGCTGAATTAAAACAGACAGCTTTACGCGTCAGAACTGCTGCTGCAGCCACTGCACAACTGTCTGTATGGCGTTGGGTCGTTCCGGAAAAGCTTCTGTGTACATCTGGAGAAGTACCTCTTGTAAAACAAGCAGCAGTGGAACACTTATGGTCATGAGTTCAAAGAGGAAGGCATATTCCTGGGTGTTTTCTAAGAGGTGAGAGCGCAGGGCATGCGTGGTGGTCCGCACTCTGTTGGATAAGTATTGGGGGGCTCTGCACACAGCATGCGTCACACTTAAAGGCCACCGTAGCTTTTTCTGGGCCCACGAGCACCAGGTACCTGAAGAGGAACTCTGAGCAACCATAGGAGTCCTGGTCTGCTCCTGCAGCACGCTCTTCTCCACTAATCCACTCCCAGTGCCATTCTGAGAAAACACCACCTTTTAGAAAAAGCAATGAAGAGTCTAGCAGCATGATTGGTGTTCATAGTTTTTGTCAAATTCTTATTGAACAAAATAGAAACAAAACTAAAATAGAAACAAAACTAAAATTTGATAAGAATGATAAGAATGGAAAAAATGCTAAGAATTATTATAATGATAATGATAGTTAAAAAATCCTTTCAGGGGCCACATTTGCCCTTAGCCTTGTGTTTGACACATGTGCAGTAGAAACGTATACTTACTGATCTGTGAGAGAAAGTCCTCCTCAGATGTGTCCCATTGCTGCGTTGATCAAAGTGAAGCTGACAGTAAAGTTGACCTACAGAATCAGTACAGTTTCAATCATTGTCTTGTGACCAAATTGCAATAACTTAAAATGGTATTTAATCTGAACCTTGCTCTGGGTCAAAGGCGTATGCTCCCAGTCTCAGAGTGGAGTGACAAGAAGAGCATCGGAAACACTCTCTGTGAAAGAACAGTCCTTCTGCGCTCACCCGCTCCACCAGATACACACGCCGCTCACACGCCCGGCACCGGTCTGCGGACTGAGGGATGGTCCTGCGAACACCGCCCTTCAAGATCAATAATGTCAAGTTAGTATCTGATTATTGGGATTTTTATGTTGAGCATGAGAATGCTCTGTGTAATGGCAAACTGTGCGTTGGGCTGTGAAAAGTGATTATATAAACTTCATGGTCTATCAATAACAAAGTGTGAGAAAGTGGGGGATAAGATCAAGTAGATCCTTTATTCGACCCACAGTGAGGAAATGTGTGTATTGGGTCACACGTTAATGAACTGTAGGAATGAAGAGCCCACGACACAAGATACGTGAACATTGAGTATAACGCTCAAAAAAACATGACTTTATTGATACTACTGTACATGTTCACAGCATGTGATACTACTGTACATGTTTGTAGCATGTGATTCTACTGTTCATGTTAACAGCATGTGATACTACTGTACATGTTAACAGCATGTGATTCTACTGTTCATGTTAACAGCATGTGATACTACTGTACATGTTAACAGCATGTGATACTACTGTACATGTTTGTAGCATGTGATTCTACTGTTCATGTTAACAGCATGTGATTCTACTGTTCATGTTAACAGCAGGAGATACTACTGTACATATTAGCAGCATTACTACTGTACATGTTTGCAGCATGTGATACTACTGTACATATTAGCAGCATGTGATACTACTGTACATGTTAACAGCAGGTGATACTACTGTACATGTTAACAGCATGTGATACTACTGTACATGTTTGCAGAATGTGATACTACTGTACATGTTAACAGCATGTGATACTACTGTACATATTGCCAGCATGTGATACTACTGTACATGTTAACAGCATGTGATACTACTGTACATGTTAACGGCATGTGATACTACTGTACATGTTAACAGCTTGTGCTACTACTGTACATATTAGCAGCATTACTACTGTACATGTGTGCAGCATGTGATACTACTGTACATATTAGCAGCATGTGATACTACTGTACATGTTAACAGCAGGTGATACTACTGTACATGTTAACATCATGTGATACTACTGTACATGTTAACGGCATGTGATACTACTGTACATGTTAACAGCTTGTGCTACTACTGTACATGTTAGTAGCATGTTATTCTACTGTACATGTTAGTAGCATGTGATACTACTGTACATATTAGCAGCATGTGATACTACTGTACATGTTTGTAGCATGTGATACTACTGTTCATGTTAGCAGCATGTGATACTACTGTACATGTTAAGAGCATGTGATACTACTGTACATGTTTGTAGCATGTGATACTACTGTACATGTTAACAGCTTGTGCTACTACTGTACATATTAGCAGCATTACTACTGTACATATTAGCAGCATGTGATACTACTGTACATGTTAAGAGCATGTGATACTACTGTACATGTTTGTAGCATGTGATACTACTGTACATGTTAACAGCTTGTGCTACTACTGTACATATTAGCAGCATTACTACTGTACATGTGTGCAGCATGTGATACTACTGTACATGTTAACAGCAGGTGATACTACTGTACATGTTAACATCATGTGATACTACTGTACATGTTAACGGCATGTGATACTACTGTACATGTTAACAGCTTGTGCTACTACTGTACATGTTAGTAGCATGTTATTCTACTGTACATGTTAGTAACATGTGATACTACTGTACATATTAGCAGCATGTGATACTACTGTACATGTTAAGAGCATGTGATACTACTGTACATGTTTGTAGCATGTGATACTACTGTACATATTAGCAGCATGTGATACTACTGTACATGCTAACAGCATGTGATACTACTGTACATGCTAACAGCATGTGATACTACTGTACATGTTAACAGCATGTGATACTACTGTACATGTTAGTAGCATGTGATACTACTGTACATGTTAACAGCATGTGATACTACTGTACATGTTAACAGCATGTGATACTACTGTTCATGTTAGCAGCATGTGATACTACTGTGCATGTTTGTAGCATGTGATACTACTGTACATGTTAGCAGCATGTGACACTACTGTACATGTTAACAGCATGTGATACTACTGTACATGTTAGTAGCATGTGATACTACTGTTCATGCTAGCAGCATGTGATACTACTGTACATGTTAGTAGCATGTGATACTACTGTACATGTTAACAGCATGTGATACTACTGTTCATGTTAGCAGCATGTGAAACTACTGTACATGTTAACAGCATGTGGCACTACTGTTCATGTTAGCAGCATGTGGTACTACTGTACAAATTAGCAGCATGTGATACTACTGTACATGTTAACATCCTGTGATACTACTGTTCATGTTAGCAGCATGTGATACTACTGTACATGTTAGTAGCATGTAATACTACTGTTCATGCTAACAGCATGTGATACTACTGTACATGTTAACAGCATGTGATACTACTGTACATGTTAACAGCATGTGGTACTACTGTTCATGTTAGCAGCATGTGGTACTACTGTACATGTTAACAGCATGTGATACTACTGTACAAATTAGCAGCATGTGATACTACTGTACATGTTAACAGCATGTGATACTACTGTTCATGTTAGCAACATGTGGTACTACTGTACATGTTGGTAGAATGTGATACCACTGTACATGTTTGTAGCATGTGATACTACTGTACATGTTAACAGCATGTGATACTACTGTTCATGTTAGCAGCTTGTGCTACTACTGTACATGTTAGTAGCATGTGATTCTACTGTACATGTTTGTAGCATGTAATACTACTGTACATGTTAACAGCATGTGATACTACTGTACATGTTAACAGCATGTGATACTACTGTACATATTTGTAGCATGTGATACTCCTGTTTATGTGTGTAGCATGTGATACTACTGTACATGTTAACAGCATGTGATACTACTGTACATGTTAACAGCATGTGATACTACTGTTCATGTTAGTAGCATGTGATACTACTGTACATGTTAGTAGCATGTGATACTACTGTACATGTTAGTAGCATGTGATACTACTGTACATGTTAACAGCATGTGATACTACTGTACATGTTAACAGCATGTGATACTACTGTTCATGTTAGTAGCATGTGATACTACTGTACATGTTAGTAGCATGTGATACTACTGTACATGTTAGTAGCATGTGATACTACTGTACATGTTAACAGCATGTGATACTACTGTTCATGTTAGTAGCATGTGATACTACTGTACATGTTAGTAGCATGTGATACTACTGTGCATGTTTGTAGCATGTGATACTACTGTACATGTTAACAGCATGTGATACAACTGTACATGTTAGTAGCATGTGCTACTACTGTACATGTTAGTAGCATGTGATACTACATGTTAGTTGCATGTGATACTACTGTGAGTCCTTAATATAGTTTGAATGAATAAATAAGAATAAATATAGTATAATATAGTTGTTACATAGTAGTTCTAATATAGTTACAAATTATTCTAAAACTAAAGCTGAGTTGCAGGATTACTACTTGTTATGCTGATAATTTATTATACAAAGTGAGGAAGTATTACATGCATAAAAGCAAACACAATGCACACACACAAATTTAAAACAACAAGTATTCTGCTGATGACGCTTCTCTGTACAATGTATGAACAACATGAATAAACTGAATGATGTTTCCTCAATTACACACACATGCTCCAAGAGGAATATTTGTGGACAAGAATAGACTTAAGTGTTATGGTAGTATACGAGTGCCAAAACATCTGGCGACGGCAGTAAAGTGAAGTGTGTGGGACAGGCGGAGTCGAGGAACCCACAAAGTGCCACCACAAAAACACTCACTTCTATTCTGTCGACAAGGTTACAACACGGACACAGACAAAACTCACAAGCATTGCATGTTTTTTATGGTTGATGCTGGAGTTGAATTGAATGAATCATGGGTTTTTGCTCCGACTCGCTCTGGCTCCTATTGGCTCTAGCTGAATGATCCTGGTCCTTTTATTTTGATCATGTCCTTGCAAATCCAGATATACATTATATACATTTTATTTTGGTAATGGAGAAATTGGCAAAATGGTGGCAAAACTTCAGCCTAACCCTCTGTCTGAAAACTAGTCCTTTTTTGTTTACAGTATGTAAGAGTTCTTATACCTTCGACAATGATCTTGTCCTTGGCTAATGGCTGAAGAAATAACTAAACTAAAAATTATGCCACACTCAATTGGCTCTTTGGTTGCTATGTTGTTGCTACCCATGAATTTGGCTGTAGATTCCAGCTCATAGTAAAATTACAGTTGCATTGACATGGTATGAGCTACAATATCTTTAATTTAACATAATATCCTTTAATTTTGCCAAGAACTAGAATTTCCGGCTGTGAATTCAATGGGACTACAGTATTATGGCCTATAGGAACCATGGTCGTCAAGTGGTGCAGAAAAATACAAATTACCTTTTTTAGTCCATCCACATTTATGCATGACTGTTAATCCGGCAAAAAACGAAGCAAAAGAAGGCATCACAACACGTCTCAAGCAATTAATGTTGAGGATGAGATGTGATCACAGGACACATCACCTTTTGAGCAGCGGGCGTTTCACTTGAAAACATCCCAGTGAGGTGAACAGCCTTCTCTTTGATTGATTTTGTGTGAAACTCCCTTGTTTGTTGTGTATGTGCCTTTATCTGCAACACAACACGGAGAGGTTGAAGCTCTGTGTGCCCACAACTGTACACAGACTAATTCTCCTCGTAATATGACTTTGAGCACCCTCCTCTGTTCTCGCTCCCATAAGACGCTGAGTTCTTGACAGCGACTAAATATTTATTGTTGGAAAAAGAACAAAGCCTTGGCTGTGCGCGCTGTGACAATCCCACTTGATGCAGTCCCACAAACTGAAGGCAGTAGATACTCAAGCATTGTTCATAGAATGCAGTAAAGTCTGAGTTTTGTGCTGACTATTTGCATAACGTATTCTGTGTATTATTGTGTTGAATGGTGAGGGGGGTTGGGAACAAATCTGCTTTATCCAACCCCTTTTCAAACCTGTATTAGTGTAAAGATATGTGATCTGCAGGTTTTGAATAAATCTTACTCACTATGGAATCTAATTATTATTTGACCACCATAAATATATCTACGACTTTTTTATTTTTTTTGAATAATCATCTGCACCAAACATGGATAAATGACAAGAAGCGGCCTGGGATTCAAGAAAGCAAGATCAAACTAAAAAGCAGTAGACAATATTGGCTTGTTTTTCTGAATTTAAGGCCTCACTCTGTTCTGCACACTGTTCCTCTCCAGTAATCCGTCTGTGTGCCTGCTTTGAAGACAATGCCAAAAGCCCAGACCTGCTCTTGCCATTTTTACCATAATTAGAGTCTGACTTCACCCTCAGATGTGATACTGCTTTCTTGTATATAATCCCCCCCTGATCTATTATTATAGCTTAAGTTTGCTGAGTTTTTAGGGAGGAGAATGTCATGGTGTGGACTAGTTTTCTTGTTTTTGGTCCATTGTTGTTTTGTCCCCATGTTTTGCTCCTGGTTCCAGTTTTTACTTATGGATAAAAATGTTTGTGGCATTTATTAAAGTATATTATTTTGCGGTTCTGCCGTTGGGTCTTTCCTTGTTTATCCGTGACAGAGAAAAACAATAGTGACGACACAGACTGGAAAGAAGAGCAGAGGAAATTGCAGAAAGAAGAGAAAGATTGACCTCAGAGACGTGTTGGTCCACTTCTCTGAGACGCCGCAGGACTCTGGACATGAGCTGGGCTGCGGTCAGGGAGGCAGGAGGTGGGGGGCTGTCAGGTGGAGGGGGGGGCACAGTCTGGGCATGTGTGTGATGATCGACATGTCTCAGCTTCACCACACAGAACAGCTGCTCAGACACAGGCTGAAGAGGTCTGGATCTGTCCACGGGTCTCAGAAACGCAAGCGGTGACGTAATAGCGGACTGAAAGCGGTCAAACGAGATGTGAGATCACTCCTGAATGAGCAGTGAGTGCGTTTGTGTGAATATCAAATGCTTGCTAAAATGCTGAGTGATTTCATTTGCCAAAAGTTTGTTGACACAGGATGTATGAGAGTAATTTTAATTGAAATTACTGTTTCAAAATGTAGGAGTTCTTAGCGTTACTCGTTAGCGCTTCCTCATGTTGTCCATATCCTTCGGCTTTGTAAATGCACTGACTTTTCTGCTTCCATAAAAGGATAATTTAATATACTTGCTGTTTTAAGTTCTTTGTCAGATATTTATTTATAAATACATCTCTTATTGCATTCAAAATGTAAACTGTTTGTATTTTTGACCCTCTGGACTACCTCTATGACCGGCCGAGGTGTAGGGATGGGGGTAGGTCTGAGCCTGACTTGCAGAATCTCTCTCATGTCAATATAGTTAGGCAGTAACTTTAAGAAAAGTGAGAAATGTGAAGACACAGAATAGAAAAGGCTGAAAAGAAATAGAATTGGAACTGTAGACACGAAACTCTTTAATCATACCCATACCTGTCTTCGGATGGTGGAATTGGGCTTGTTTTCAAACTTGGCGAGGAGCTGTGATGCCATCGAGCGAACCTTGTTCTCTTTGGGGCCAGAGTCGTCTGGCACTGCAGATCTATTACTGGAAAGGTTGGTGGCCTGCATGACAAACGGTCAGTGTTTATCAAAATGTTTCTCATTTGTTATATAAATAAACATGTACAGACCTCTTCTAAATATCCAAATTTCCGCCTTCTTTTGTAAATATTGTCTGCGCTGTCTGTTTTCTTCTCCTCCTGGAAGAACATGTCATTTAAACATCCGTTTAACAGTAAATGGTAATGACAATTTTTTTCCCCAAAGTAATTTACAAACCTTTGGAACCCTCTTTCTTGTCAAGGCAAGATTCAGCACCTTGTTATTTCGCCGGATGCCTTTTGATGGATCTTCACTATTTTCATCCACCCCTTCAGGACCTGAAACATGCAATGTATAGACTGTATATAAATATTCCATGTCTCAAAGGCATAAATGTCTCACTATTTAAAAACAATTAGCAAACATCCGTTTCATTTCATGTTTCTCCAATTTCTCCCAGACTGAATGACTGAATACTGATACTTCTGGTTAAAAGTTAAACATAAATTAATATTAGCATTATTGTGTAGGGAGCAGATGTGTTTGCAGATGAGTACGAGAATTTCAGAATTCAACAATACTTTTGGTGGCTGTACATTCCTCTCATGCCTCAAGACTTTTCTAACAGAATGATACACTCTGCAGTTTTCCTCAGGAAGTAAAAAGGAAATTTGATACATTTTTCTTCAGACAAAAACCTAGTGTTGTGTAAGGAGAACCTAGACTTTGACAGTAATATATATCTATGTATCTTTATTACATTTTCCATTTCTCAAAAAGGATGCCTGGAATTGTTAAAATAAAATTTCAGATGTTTGAAGGGATCTAAAAGAAAGGACTGAACAACAATATATCTTTTGTTTATAACAAATAGACATTGCCTTGTTTGCAAAAAAACTAATTCATTTTTAATTAACTGAACATTTATGATTCAACTTGAATTAGTCTGGTTTCATAATCCACTTTACTCAAGTTTAATCATCTATTTTACTGAAAAACATTCAACACTGGGTGTGGTTCTCCTCACTCTGTTTTCCCGAATAAACAACAGGAAATCAAAACTTTGCTTGTTAAACGTTTTATAATTTCATGGCTGATATATTTGAGCTTCAATATAATATCTTCTAAAAAATATTGATTTAGCAATAAATAACCCTCGGCACTATTGTGTTGTATCAAAATAAAATAAAAATAGTATATACATTTTATACAAACAGTATGTTCAATGCACTAAACTTCACAGTAGTTTGTACCTGATGAGGGTAACGGCGTGCCCCGGAAGAGCTCATAGAACTTGGACAGGTATGCGGCCATCTGGGTCTTATCCAACTCCTGGTCTGAACACAGTTCTGTCCCGGTCGTAAACGGCCGAATACCAAATTCACGTTCGCTTATGTCAAACGCAAGCTGTAGTTTTTCTGCTTGGTCTTCCTCTTTTAGGGAATCCAAATCTCTGAAAAAGACAACATGTTACTCACATTTACCTCGAACCACCGCATAGCGACATAATAAACTGTTGTTGTGGATCTGTTTGAACAAAAGATGAAAACCCTGTCGCAATTAAACGTAAAAACTGGTCATGTTTTTGGGTTTAAAGATCTTATATGGGTGTATGTTAAATTGCAGGGATGGAGAGAGCGCTCAGACAGATTCCAGGCCAATACATAAATAGCAGTAGCCTAGCAGCTGCACACAAACAATGGTGTAATTTTGTAAGGGTTTAGGAAAGTCCAGACTTTTATCCTGACAAACCTACTTACTCCTGCTAACAATATTCAATATAATCCAACTCCACCGCATCATGATTTGTCACTGTTATGGTACATACAGAATATCAACATCAAAGCAAAGGGCTTTTTTAAACTAGGAAGGATCATTAAGATTAAGGGATCCTTTTTTTCAGTGTTGTATCAAAGGTTACGGAACAATAGAAATCAGTAGACACACCAAGCAACATCTCAGAGCACTCTTACATGCTCCGGCACAGTGGTGGCAAAACACTGATCTAAGTAAATGTAAGTCATTAATTCAAAATACATCCAAGCCAGAAAGGACAGGCCCCAAAAAATCCACTGAAAGTTCACAAACGTTGGCCGTTGCAATGTCTGAATTCAAACCTGTCTTTGGACAAAACTTTCAAACCTGAAACTTCAAAAATGAATTTCCATAAAATCACAACATAAGATTTTGAATGAAATCTAAAATTTGACTTGTATTTCAGCCAATGGAATTTAGTAAACCCAGTTTAAACCCGGTTAAGTAGACACTTTGCATTCTAGCACAAACCTGAGAGACGTCACAGCAGCTTGTTACCAAACAAGTGAATGGAATGACAGTAAACGCAGCACTCAGAGACGTTTATCATTATCATTACTATAAGTATTATTATTATCATTATTATTGTCATTACATGATAATTATTATTGTAAATATTATTATTGTTGCTATAATTAATATTAATATCATTGTGTAGATGTTTCAGTCCAGTATACGCACATGAGCTGTGGTTTGAAGCGGTGGATGAGGGCACAGAGCGCGGTGCCGCTGAGCCATGATGAGCTCAGGTCAGTGATGTCCACGCCGCTGTAGCCTTCAGTCTGCTTCTGACACCACGTGAGGAGCCTCGCCGGCCGGATCTCTGACTCTGAGAGGAAACAAACATTTAAACGCAAGCACAACCTGACTTTCAAACCACAGGATATGAACTATGTATCACATTCTTTGCTCTCAAAATAGATTATTCTAATACTAGTTTTCACATATATATCACCTATTTTGGACCTCTGTCATCTGACACATGCTTAGATCAGATTTTTTTTAAAGAAAATGAAGAAAGATAGGACCTCTGAAAGACTCCTTCTGTTGGGACAAACAGCACTTCTAATCTAGTACCCCACACTACCCCACACTAGTACCCCAGTGTGTCGTCATGGAAATGTCATTGGTTTGCTTGGAGATTTTCTTATTCATTTGCTAAAAAGTGGCCTGGTGAGACTAAACCATAAAAGGTAGATATGGTTAATGCTGTACAATTCGATGCCTCCTCACTCACTCAGAGAAATGGGATTCTAAGATATATTCTATTATACGTCACATGTCATTTATTCTGCCATAACCGAATAACCAGAAATAAATTTGAGGAATATGACTGAGCCTGCCTTTCTGACCCGGCCCACCCCCATGACCCCTCCCATGCCCACTGTAAACATTACATATGTGTGTCGTACTTTGACCTACTGGTTAAGCTTTTGTATGCTGCGAACAGAAACATAAGATATAAGATCTCACCAGTTGGAGTACATTTTTACAGTAAACGCACGTGCATGTCAGTTGAAATAGGCCACAGATGATTTGATTATTAGTTCAGGCTGATTTGAGACTAAATAGCGTGACTCTATCAAACCACAAGCACTGACAATGCATGACAAAAACAATTCAAATCAAAGATAATGTTTATGTTACACAGTTCATATCTGCTCATTCAGAGTATGTTTGACTTTCTGACCACATCCCCATAGCTGCTCTATTCCCACAGGGACCACACATAAAAATAAATCGACTGGTGACTGGTGCCCTCAATGGAGACATGCTCAGTGGGTTTGAGAGGAAGCTGGCCTGAAATGGTCCAAGTGAGCACTCAAAAATAACACACGTCAAAGTCATTAAAAACAGACTTTGGTTGAAAACGCCAAAAATAAATCTTAAACTGACATAACCACATTTACACCGTATTCTTTCTTGATTCTGCTGTGTACATAACAAAATCCAGTAGGCTTCTTTCATAGCCGGGAGTTGGTCTAAACTAGATTTCCTCAGCTTTCAATGTCTCAATAAAATTATAGACAAATAGAATAAGTTCAAACAACTCACATACCCTCATGGTAAGTGATGAACAAAGGGAGAAAAACCTGCTTTGACACAGGTTTAAAGATGTCTACTCTTAATATAAACTATTTTACTAAATTACTGCATTGTGTCATTTGCCCCTCCCCAGATATATTAGATCTCTCTAGACTGATCTCATCATAATACTGCTCCACCCAGAGGCTACTCCACCTCTTCTGCTGTGATCTGAAGGGCTGTTGCTGATTATTACTATTTTTTAATTTTTAGAATGATCAATTTCATTTTTTATTTTTGCTGCTACTGGACACCGGAATTTCTCCTTCGGGGATCAATAAAGTATCCATCTTTCTGTCTATCTCTCTATCACAATACTTCTTCTTACTTCCTGTAATTGGCAACGCTTGTTTCAATGTTTCTTAAAGGGTGACATCATTAAGGTATGATCCCAGCAAATAGTGACAATTATAAATGAAAAGTACAGCTCCATCAGTGGCGCTCACCTCGTCTGCGGAGATTGACCGGCCGGCGGATGGTCGCAGCTCGCTCCAGAGAGCAGCTTTTAATTTCTCCGTTGATATAAAACTGTTTCACCTGAAGAAATATAAATACACGTGTTTGAAAAAGACAACGTTTTTTAGTTTTTTTTCTTATGTCACTTTAATGTGAAAACCAGTGGGACAAAAACCTGGTGCGGCCTGACAGCGGACTCGTTGATGTTTGGGTATCGGGTCCCCGGGTCGATGGTGTACTGGTCAAAGTTTTTAGCAATGTTTGCAGGTGTTGTTTGATGAAGTAATCTGTAAACACTTTCTCTGTAAAAGATGAAAAAGTAGAAGAAGAAGCTGCATTATCATAGAATGTAGAACATAAATCACAAGGATATGAAAGTGGTGAAAAAATAAATTTGATCCTTTGTAATAAAACCTCATGTACTCGCACCTCTCTGCCAGCACCTCCAGGACAGGCCGACCCTCAGCCCAGCTCTTCACCATCCAGGCAAGATCAAACGCAGCCAGAAAACCCCGAGCACAACCTGTTCCCATGGGCCAGAAGGGCTGCCAAAAGATAAGTCATAATGTATGAACATATGTGTTAGATATTAGTTTTGGAGTGTGGTGGATGTGTGACTACGATGCTACATTTTAATAGTGATCTTTTCCAATGTAGCTCTTGTAATCATGTCTCTCCAGAGAGATGATCAAACTATCTGGTTTTCAACATCATGTCTCTTTCTAAATCTACATTTCGTATGGGTAATTACTACTTCCTGAACAAGGAAGCTCTGCCCACTTCTCTGCTCCATAAAGGAACGACATTCTTGATTGTTCATAGGCTTGTTTCAAGAACATTCAGCTTTGTTTATTTTTTCATTAATTATCAGTATTTAATCACAGTCATGGACCAAAGCTCTCAAAACTATTAAAGTTATATGTGTCTGACCCACTTTACCTCTGAAATTAATACAGATTTGAATTGGTAAAATACCATTCGGCCGACCACACATCACTATACTATTTTTTTCAGTTTTTTCCATATAACTTCTTTTGTTCTATATAATACTGGTTTGTTGATATACCATGTTTTGCTTGACAAGGACTACATTGCCTAAGTGACCGAAGACCAAGAGCCCTACTTCAGACATAACAAAGATCAAAACAAGAATAAGTGTAGCTATATTTTTCAGAATATCTGTGACTGAAAAGACAAAGAGTTCTTGAATTGTATTGACTGTATATCCATTATAGTTGATGGAATGGGAGTCTAATGTGCTCCTGTATGAGGCCCAGTGTTTCAGACAGAAACAGGTCTCAGGTCAATCACAGAAATGATCATGAGAAAGAGTTTTAACAACATTTATGGACATATTCATCAACACTTATGGACATTGGTCGTCTGCCCCTTTGGACCAATACCAAAGTGTATTCTGTTTTAGTGTTGGCAAATTCAACAGTTGTGTAAAGTCCTCCGAGATAACTACTGTTGTGATTTAGGGCTATACAAGAATACATTGAATTGAATTGAAAGAACACTATACCACACTTTTTTCTTGTTTTAATGTTTTTGAGCCCCAGTTTGAAGACCACAACAGTGTGAGATCTCAAGTCTGTGCGTTTTCCTGCCGCTCATACCTCCAGCAGACTGTCGCCGACCAGAGCCGCCAGCAGCTGGTGTCCGCCCCGGTCCCGCACCAGAGCGGCGTTCTCTGAGGCGTACATGCTCGTAAAGTCAAACATGGCAACATCTGGCTGGCCGCAGTGGTTTAGGGCAAAATCCAGCGTGGGAAGTTGGTAATTGGTGCCAAAGTCAGCTGCCTCCCGGGCGTAGCACAGAAGAGCTTCCTGGTTGATGTTTTCACTGCTGAGCAACATTTGCGTGTCTACATAATCCTGTTGTATTCAGAGACAATATCACTCACTGCACAGTCATGGCAAAGGAATTATTCACATTATAGCAGAAAAAAACCTACATGCATGATGACTCCTTTGTCCAGCAGACTCTGTTTCTTGGCAGTCATGACAAAATAATGTGTGTTGTCTTTGTAGTACACAATGTTCTCCAAATCTATACCTGCAGCAAGGAGTTCAGTATGATCAACAGATGAGGTCAAAAGACTAGTAGATCTTTGTCTTCTCTTAGTTTTCTTGTATTTGTTTTTTGTTGTGAACTTACCCATTTCTTCTTTGAGGTCCGTGAAGAACTTTTGGTTAAAGATGAAAGCCACTCCACTGATCTCCTCCACTTTGGCCTCAGCTGTGGTGTTTCTGTTAATGAAGTTTGCAGTGATTGCAATGGCCAGCTTCCCTCTGAACTCTTTTCTTTTGAACCCTATGAAAATAATGCAGAACAACAGAATGATTACATGAAAAGCTCCTCTGTAAATCTAGGTTTCTGTAAATCAGGTGTCTCCAATCTTTTTCACCGAACGAGCCTGATATTGGGTACAGTCATTATTTATCATCGCATATTTGTTACAAGTGCACAATGTAAGTGCATTTGCAGTTTTAAATAATGATAATTAATAAAAAAATCTGAAATATTAAGTATATTATTGGATTTGTTTATTTCTAAATCCTTTGGTGAGCTATTGGTGGCTCCTGAGCTACAGGCTGGAGACCCCTGCTGTAAACCTACCCCTCAGTCTTAATTACAACAGCTTATTCTACAAAAATCAATGAAAGAAAGTTTACTAAGTGGTATCACCTTTTAAGACCAAAACCAACATCATTATTCTATAGAAATGAAAAATTAAAGCCAAACTTTTTCTATTTCAAAATATACATTTAATATTGTTGCTCTCCTCGGGTTTTGAGATGTTAGCCTGCGCACAGCCTGCTATAGCCCAACATTTTGTATACTCTTTTTGATGTTAAATAATATACTAGCATTTGAAAAAAACAAAATCTTTCTCAAGATTTTTTTCAGTCCTGGCAACTGGCTTTCTGCAATAGCGACTCTTAGACAGCAGACCCTGAATCACAGACATAATGAAGGTGTAGAAGTATTCAGTTGCCATTACTGTTAGAGGAAACATCCACATAAAACAATGACTTCTCTAAATGTTCACAACTGTGTCCTATAGTGCACAGAGCTCCAATCTAATCTAAAGTGGTCTGATAGCATGAAAAAAAACATCTCCCAAAGGCTTATTCACAATTTGGAAAATGTGCTGCACATTCAGCGCGGGTCCAAAAATGCCCTTTTTAGGTATAAGTATCTGGTGCAAAATGGTTGTTCGATGACAACATTGTAAAGAGAGAAACCACAACAATGAGACATGGCATCAGTTCAGTAAGTTTGAACTGGCTCTAGCAGTGATGTCTGCTTCATGTAAGAGAAGTCCACTCTCTGTAATAGTAGCCACATTATCTTCACTTAACTTATCTTTTTAAAATGTGATACTTCATCTTTGCTGGCTATAAAACCATATGAATCAAGTAAACAGAGTACTAATGTTTATATTCCAGTTTATTGATGACTTACCATCAAGAGTATTGCGACGTCCATCGGCTCCCACGATCACGTCAAAGTCAAAGTCGGCCACAGGATGATCAGCAGGACGGACAGCTGCACGCCAACCCACCTCTGAGAAGAAGATGTGCTTTTACTTTTAACTGGGCAATGATTCATAATAACGTGCATTTTATTGTTATTTGTCAAATTTACATTAAAAGGGCATTAAAAAGTCTAATAAAAGACTTGACAGTGATTGACCCCCACTCTCGCCTCTCAGCAAGAAGGTCCTGGGTTCGAATCCCGGTTGGACCAGGGCCTTTCTGAGTGGAGTTTGCATGTTCTCCCCGTGTCTGCGTAGGTTTCCTCCGGGTGCTCCGATTTCCCCTACCACTAAAAATATGTACAATAGGTCTGGCATGTGCCTCCTGTACTGGCACCCCCACTCCCAAAAAAATAAAAATAAAATACAATTGTAAAACTGCTTTGAGACTCCGATGTGCAGTGAAAAGGCAGTATATAAATAAAAGCTTACTTACTTAATTCGCTTTAGGTTGTGAAAAAAAGATTTTACACTAATTCTAAACTACACGCAAATTCTGGAAAGTCAAAATGGTTGTTTAAAACAACGCATTTTCTTGGGTTTCTCCAAAAAACTGCTGTTCATTCATTCTGTCCAGGCAAACAGTTAAAAACTACCAAAGACATGTAAGAAATAAGTAATTAAGTTAAGTTATACTATTTTCCTCGTAGGGATACAGTATGTGTTCTCTGCATTTGACCCATCCTACCATGCCACTCAGGCCTCACTGGGGACCATTTCCAGATGTTGATGCTCGGCTTGGTCAGGACCAGAGCTGGAGGATTCTGCTTATTGTACATGTTTTTAACTGTAGGGGAAACCAGAGAGCCTGGAAGAAACCTATGCAGAAATGGGGATTTGAACCCAGGAGCTTCTTGCTGAGAAGCCAGCCACTCTGTGTTTTCCCTTATCATACTAATAATGTGGAACCATACAAAAGTTAAAACATAATCTGACAACCAGGTTTTAATGTTATCGGCCATACGACATTTGAAACTGGCCAAATAATGAATGTTATTGGCACAGCAGCTACCGGCACTGATAGCACCATGTTAAAAATGCCTTCCATGACGTCAAGGCCAACTCTAAGTTTGTCACACAAGAACAGGGTGGATAAGTGCGGGTGTAAAATTAGCTATGGCTCTTGTTATCGTTGTATGGTTATTATAGCTCCAGAGAGTCCACCTGAAAGCCTGTGGCAAGTTATTTCTGTTCAGACCTGAGAGCAACAAAAACGTACTGTCATAGACTGCACAAACTCAAAATGCTCTAAAAACAAAATGATCTTCTATTGGTGGTTGTTGTTTAAAATGGCCGGTGGATAAACGCTAAACTATTTATGTTCGGGCAAAACATTGTCAAATGTTTTGAGGAACAAACATTGCTAGTAATTTAGGAAGTGTGCATGGGCTTCCTCAAACATAAATGAAGCTTCATATAACCAAATATTCATCTGTTTGTTTCTGTTGTTTCTGTTGATGAAATCCAACACTGCTGTTGATCCGTCTCATGAGGCTGAAATCCAAGTACCTTGCTTTTCTTGGTCTTGGGGAGGCTCCAGCAGTTGGACAAACTCTGTATTGATATGAAACTCTACAGCAACAAGGAGGGCCACTTTCAGCAGGATGAGCTGCAGCTGCTGGATACCTGTTTGAACAATTGTGACATGCTTTTCACTGAGATCAAAATAAATCATGAACAAAACAAGATAAAAGTGAACATAAAACAGAATGTTACTCACTGGCAGCTACTGATCATACATAGACTGTATATAGAGGGACAGTGCTGACCTGCTAGCTCTATGAAGCCTAATAGGGAAGTACACACTTTGGCTCCATTCACTTTCATTGGAAAATAAACTCCTCTTACTCTATAACCGTTTGTCACTCCTCTGTGAGATCCTGCTGTTTTTATTTTGATATTGTCTTTGGAAATCCAGATGCGACCCCTAACAACTGACCAATCAAGATGCCAAATGTTGGCTTTAGCAAGCAATTGTGAGCAGAAACAGAACAGCCTCACCCCTGATTGGCTCTTTGGTTGCTAAATAGTGGCTACAGATGAATTTGGCACCAGATTCTCGCTATAGACACTACTTGTGTTATCTCTAATCTTCTTCCAGCACTTCTTCTACAGACTATGTCATCATATTAACAGGGAAATATATTGTGATGAACAAATAATCATGCCTTACTTATATGGTCTATGGCTCCAGCACAGAATTTCCCATAAAACTTTTTGGCTCCAAGTCCTCGCAGATCATGAATGGTGAAAGGCCAAAGATGCAGCACGTTGTGTCTGGAGAAGGAGTCTCTTTTCTCGATCACCACCACTTTAGCTCCCATCAGTGCCAGCTCTATGGCAGCGCGTAAGCCACACGGCCCTCCACCGATAATCAGACACTAAAGAGGAAGAGGCACATTCACTTTATTACAAATACTGGTGCTATTCTATACTTCATAGATGAATGGCAGGTTTACTTCACTTTCTCTATCAGTAAATCTCACATAAGAACGCTTCACTTAATGCTGTACTTGATCCTTAAGCACCTGGGAGGTTTTGAGAACTGGATGGATGAAAGATATGGAGGTGTTTCTAGGCACTCCAAACATAACATTGCAAAAATAATTGCCCAGAGATATGCTTGCTCCGGGTAGCTATCACCAAACCATTTTATGTTTTTCATTCCTCTTACAAGAAGACATGAGGTCATTGCAGTGCATGCCGGTACATGCTTTAGTTGTTCTTAGTGCTACACATGGCATCTATTGGACAATTGGAAATCCACAAGGGAAATGACTAATCTCTGTTGTTTTTCTTTAATTACAGATTCCACTTTAATAAAAAAAATAAAAAAAATTGCTAGCCTGACAAGCCAGATCCTCTACCTTCAGACACGTGTGGGTCTGGCTGGTCAGGCGACAATTCTGGCCTCTTTCAGACCAAGAGCTAGATCCCACTAGATTATTATCTTTTAGTCAAAAGTTATTACGCAATGAAACAATATTATCCTTATTAGTAGTTCACATGGGTCTGAAGACAAGGCAGATTCATTTCAAAAGCATCATTTATATCAAAGAAACCCAGGACGCTGAACAAACACACAGAAAGAATATTGAGAAACAAAACAACAATAGAAAAAAACAGCAACACAACAGTAGTCCCAGCGGTTCATAATGCACAGCAATAGATACAATGCAATACATATAAAGCAATGAATACAAATATAAAAAGTACAAACATGAATCAATGTCATGCCCTGTAAAAATAAAGTAGTTGGCCGCTATGGAACAAAAATAAAATGGGTTTTATCACCAGGACATTCAGAAACCCACAGATAAGCCGACAAATGCAAACCCATCTCAGTTATTTAGACAGGACCTCAGGCTTCCTGTTTTCCTGGATGCTCATTATCAGTGAGACGGACTCTATTAGCTTTGGACGGCGCGCCTTCTGCCAGCTGTTCAAACTCGGAGCCGTGCACTTGAAAAAGCGGACTCTGGAGGGTTTGTGCTGCGGGGGGTAAGTAAGTTTCACCGTCAGTCGCCTGGGGTTATAACAGCAACAGTACACCTCATCTGTCCGTCTAGTGTCTACTAGTAATTGAGTTTAATTTATTAAAATATGTATTACTTTGGTTGTTAGTCCATAAAAACAATCCCATTCACATAAGTAGGGGTGGGCAATATATGAAGAAAAATTATATAAAATCATTTATCATTTCAATTTGATTATTTACTGTTGTTATCCCTTTAAAACAGTTTTAATCTTTCACATACTGAGAGCTGATTGGCTGAGTGAGCGCTGGTGCTCTCCTATTCACTGATAAAGCAGAGGCCAAAAATACATGCGTGTGAAAACGTTTGTGGTTTCAAAGATAGGTACTCCAGCTTTAACATACTACATAAAAATTAATACTAAATTCTATGCATTGTTAAGACACACTTCCCATTTGAATTCGCTGGAAACGGCAGCAAGTCCGAATAGCTCTGAAACAGTTGTTCTGTGTTTTACAATTGTTTGTTTAATGTTTTTCTTTTCTTTTTTCTACCTGAGATATTGCTGGTTAAGACCGGAGCAGAGAGGATTCATGGTCCGAACCAAGCGGATCATGCAAAAATGCACTGGAGTAATTCTGGCTTTTTGAAAATGCAAACAAAGCGTTCAGCGTCTCACTTTGGACTAGAGCAGAGAAAATGGTCCGAACCATGCGACCACTCCACCTCTGCTGCCGTGACCTAAAGTGCAGTTTCATTTTAATCCTATTGTTAGATATTTTTAGAATTATCTATTTATTTGTTTTGTTTGTATGCTGGACGTGTTTCCGCTGCTACTGGACTCATGAATTTCTCCTACAGGGATCAATGAAGTATCTATCCATCCCATCGATCCATCCTATCTAGGAGGAGGTTTTAGATTCTGGATCTGTTTCTTTCTCGGTTGATTAAGGAGCATGGATCTTGTCTCTCATTTTGAATGCACACAATGATGATAGAGATTGATTAAAGTTGATATTGCAATTTTCCGACACATAACAATTCAAATACAAGAAGGGTTAGTATTGATAAAGGTAATAAACTGTGCTGACTTGGATCTTTCCTGCTTACAGATGATTTTAACCTATTATGACTTTGTTTTCATAGATGCTCTGTCTGTCTCTGGCAGAGGTTAGGTGACAGCTTTATCCTGTTTCCATTCACCAATGTTATCGCACACACAGACTTGTGCTGAGAACTTTGCTAAAACATAAAAACATTGCATTTGATGATAAAACATGATAAAAGTGATTGACTCAGCTTCCGCACTGTGATTACATTTGCATTTTCTTTCATCTTCAGCACATCACATTTGCAAGTGTGTGACCATCTCTTTGAAGGAAAGCTCACTCACTGATATCTTTACCTTTGGATGACTTACTTTAACTATTACTTTCACCAAATCCTTTCAAAATCTCTAATCTCATCAGAGTTCATGTTGTCTACTCTGGATACTTTTTTTTGAAACTCCTCATTCTTCTGGCCGTTTCTGTTAGACTTGTTAACTCTTTATAGTTACGTGTCACTGCGTCCAGATGTGTCAGGCCATAAAGCAGAGGTGACATCACATCCTTTAGAGCAGTTCTTCCAGAAAAAGAGTGAAAGGCAAAAAACAGACACTGCTCCTATGTGGTTACCCCTGCTGTGTTTAGATAAATGTACTTTAATAATGTTGCTGGCGAAGTTACAGGTCATATCTGTGGAGGAGAGCCGACCCAATGTAAGAATTCCATTCCAACAAGCGAGGAAATGAACGCGCTGAATTTGATCAAACATTTTCCAAAACTGTTTCAGTTTTAGAATTGAATTGATTACAATCTGATTTTTTACTATGTTCTTCAAAAAAAGCAAAAACATCAAATGAAAAGGTTTTATTGATGAAATGTAGATTAATCCAAATGTAATCTGTCAAAAGAGAAGGAACAAATTGTGTCTTTTGTGTAATCTTCAAGTATTCTCCGAGGAGTATTTTTAACCCTTTAATTGTTTCTTTATCTACTTGACGCTTGGAACTGAAATCTACCTCATTGGGGCATTTCACTTTTACCATCAGACTGTATCTCAACCACTATAAAAAAATAAAAAAATAAAAAGAAATAACTCCAAAAACGAACCCACCTACATCTTAGAAAATCTACAAGGAGTGAACATTAAAGGGTTAATGGTTTTGGTTGGCGTCGCACGGCAAAACTATCTAACCAGACTGACACCAGACATCTCCGCTGCTGAGGATGAGACGATCAAACTGCATACCTCAAACTGTGGTAAAACACAAGCCAAATAATGTGAGCCGCTGAGTGATGCCGTCCGTCTGTGTGTGCAATAAAAACACTCTTTCATGGTCCGGGGCTGATGGCCGACAGGTAATGACAGTGCAGAAGGCTTCACGACTCCCTCTCATCACCTTTACAGTCTGCTGTTTGTACTGTCTCCACAGAAGCATGAGAGCAGAGGAGAGAAGCGCTCATGCCCCCAGACTTAAACCACCAGATGTATGGCTTCTTTAGGAATATGAAACTGTCGCAGCCAAAGTCTGTGTCAGGTAAAAAGGCTAAGGATAATGACTAAAAGGAACTGATACTGTTTGAACAAAAACACAACAATATTTTTAACAATTAGAATCTATTTAGAATTCGACCATATGTAAAGAGCAAAGCTTGCAGTATCAGAGAATGGTTTAGTAAGCAGACTAATAATTAATAGAAGCATCAAGCCTAATCACATGTCTACATTTGAGTGCAGCGTTTTTTTAACCAGTGTGTCATACAGTACATTTTGAGAGTTTTTGGAAATGTTCAAATATCACCTTCACCATCAAAACAAAACAAAGAAAACAAAGAAAAAAAAAAATGTGAGAAGATAAATTATTGTATATTAGATTATTATTAATAAATACAAATATTATTTTTTATTTATGCTTGTTTGAGACTCAATACACTTTGTTGAGAATGACTTTGTTAATTAACAGTGTCCTCTGCAGTGTTGGGGAAGTTACTTTTTTTTTTTAATCACTTTTCTCGTTACTCGTTACTTCTTATAAAAAATAGCCTGTTACTCAAAGAAAGTAACTTATTAACTTTACTTTTCCCCAAAAAAGTAGTTTTGTTAGTGTAACGCTTTACATGCAGCACTGGTCCTCCGTGTATCTGCTGCAGCCGTGTGCCACAGCTCAAACAGGTCGGGTATCACTGCTTAAGTTTAGTGGGGAGTTGTATAGTAGTTTTACAGGCACAATTTATCAATTTACCAGCGCAATTTACCAAATATATTCTGAATAATGTTTGTATTGACTTTTGATTTTTTTTCCTTTTTTTTGCATTTTGATCTGTGTTTTTAATTGCCTTATACACAAATGGTACTGATCGAAAAGAAAATTGTGGAGAGCAGTAACTCACCCGTGTGCCCTCGGCAGCTTGACCGTTCTTGTACTCCTTATGGGACATTCTCTTGTCCAGTTTGGCCCATAGCGCTTTGGCTTTCCAGTAGGTCACTCTGGCTTTGAGATCAGCATAGAACGTGCTGTTGTCCGATGGATCCAGGTCCAGTTTTTGGCACATCACGTTGAAGGCCTGCAGTGCGCCCTTACAGGTGGACGCCAGGACAAAGTTTTCAAACAGTTTGGCTCCATTGTCGTCCTCCGTCTCCCCCATGTCTGCTGGTGTAGAGCTGGAGAAAGTGTGGCTGCTCCCTCTGCTACTTCATGGTGCCTCCGTCTGCAGAAGAAGCACAAGGGCTGATGTCATGGGGCAAGACTTCTGCTCAGTTTGCTGTAGGCAACACTTGTCTCTTCATGCTCTGTGATTAGCTCCTGGTTTACTTCATTTGTTCAACATACTGTATGTCAATGTGTGTTACCTCATAACAGAACAAGGAAGATGTGTTTCATCTTTATGCTTTCTGTTTGCTATAATGAATAACTCCAGCCGGGTGAACAATCTCTATTATTATCTATTGACAAAGGCATTCCATCTGAAGGCACGGCAGTGGGAGTCACTCTAGTGTAGATAAGAAGCATACAGTAAAGTCAGCAACAGGTATATATTTCCCATTGAAGACACAAGAAAACAGTTTGAGCTTCTACAAAAAATGCGTCTTTATATCTGAGATCCTTTATTCGTCCCACAATGGGAAAATGTCAGTGTTGCATCACAAGTCACTGAACAGTAGGAATGAGGAGGACACAATAAAATAAAGAAGCAGTATAAAATCTCTATCTAAAACACAATAAGGAAAGACGTCTTAAAATTTCCAACTTTAGCATGATGAAGAAGCAAGAATTAAGTACAAAAAACGCTGACTTTAGCATAATAAGGAGCAGGTATAAAATGCGGTATATTCTAGTACAAGAAAGACAAAAACCAACTATAAATATATTTGTTTTGGTCATATATAGAGTTTCTGTTGTCATTATAAATTGGATATAGACAACCACTAACTATGAGTGTCATAACTTACTGAACAGGAAACGATAATAGTTTTTAAGTGGTAAGAGCTGAACCAGATCCAAGTTGGAAGTCTGTCTAAGTTCTAAAGAAATTCTAAATGTCTGCCTGTGTGTGTAAACTTTCAAGCACTAACTGTATAAATGACTATCCGCGTCCACATTTAGTCTGAAGTAAAACATTTTAGACTGACTAAAAATAAACTAGATGACATGAAACTTATCCAAACTTTTGAGAAATCTTTGTTACGTCAAACTTCTTGGGCATGGAATGTACATGAATTATACATTTTACACATCTCGTTTTAATCACAAACCATCACACACACCCTCTAACACAAAAAACCTGTCCTCACACTGTTTCAACTGTTACAAACAACAATAACTCACACTTCTGTGTTGATATCCAGCAATAACAGTGACCTACACACACACAAACACACACACACACACATACACACACAGACACACCCCAAAATGCATTAAATCCTAGCCTTTCTACCTTTTAATCCTTATCTGTATTGCTTTCATGTAAATATTGATTTTCATTGTTTCTGTATAATGCAATTTGTCACTTTCGTTCTTGTTGCTTCCCATGGAGATTATAAAAACAAAAAGAAAAAAAAGTATGCATTTTTGGTGGTTTTTTCAACCAAAAATTGAGGAGTTGAGTGAAGAAGGTGACATGTCTGGGATCGCGTCTTTCATTCAGACAGAAGACATGTTTTATTGTCGATGGTAGAGACAGCACGAGCACGAACACAGATACAATAGAATGCAAGTGTATTATACAGAGCGGAGGCATGGAGACCTCCAATCAGCAGCTGCCACGGTGTGCTTGTAGCTTGGCCTTCAGATAGACACAACAAGGGAAAAGTACTGGCTTCTGCACATTGATAGAATGATGAGTTTAACCTTAACAAAAGTTGCTTCAAAGTGTTATGAAATCTCACATTCCCCCCTCTGGGCACACATTCACGTGTGACCATCAGGATCGATAAACAGCAACATAACATCATAACTCAATACTTCAAAAACTCATAAACTTGGTACTTCACTCGGTACCTCAAAAAACTCAGAACTCGGAATACTTCAAAAACTCATAAAACATGTTCAGATCTTTCATAAAACTTGTCAACAATCTTCAGTAAAATACCAAACTTCATCAGTCGATGGTGGTTTTAACTGATTGCAGGTGAGATTTTCTGAACGATCGGTGCAAACGAGGGCGTTACATTGAAGAACAGGCAGAACTCAAATGCTAATATTCTCCATTCAACCATCAAGTTTTTTCCACCCTTGAAACATCAAAGTGGATCCGAGTATAGCGTGGTAACTCTCATGGGTGGAGGCCACAGCTTCCCCCGGTTTACAGAGAAACTGCTTTTGATATTGTAACGGCCAGGAGCAGGATGGGCAGGTCATGCTGGATTAGCAGGGACCCCAGCATAATCCCCCCACTGTCACCAGCAGTGTATGGGCCTCAGGTGTAAAAATGTGACTGTTCTAAAAGTGCATAAGCCGCAGCTCTGGTCAAAGAAGCACATTACACAAGCTCCACAGGCCAACGTGATCGCTTTCACTTCTGCCTCTGTGCTCTCCTTATCTGTTGGCTCAAAAACAGGGAGAAGATTTCCTCCCGGCAATCAATGTTACACAATAGCAAAACCTAGTGTTGCAATAGCCAACACTGATTAGATCGCCACGTCATTTGAGTTTGTATCCTCCTGTTTTGGTTCACATTGTACCTTCACAACTTCCAGTTTCAGTTTCAGAAATTCTAAAACTATAGACTACTCAAAGAAAAAAAGAAAACATGTATATTTTCAGTGGGGACAGATGAGTTAAATGTCATGCAGTGGAAGGTTAAACTCAGAAGATTTACTATGAAAATAAATAAGCAGGAGGAGGACAGGTTTGAGTCAGGTCTGTGGAGATGCAAGCCCGCTCACAGTAAGGAATGTGGTCCTTACTGTGAGCGGGTTTGAGGAGGACAGGGTGAGATGAGTCAGTGTCTACAAAACTGTGTCATCTATTGAGTATAAATTCAGGAAGTCCCTATCATTCCAATCTTACTGTGGACACTAAAAGACAGTTGAATAAGTTTTATAAAACAGTTTTAGTTTGTCAAAGTAAATTTTCAAGCTGTATCCCGATTTTGATGATGAATTTTTTTAAGTGCAGAATAAAACAAATCCTATCAACTTTATCAATACAGCAAGCAAATCTCTTAATATCAGCCTGTATTGCTAAGCTTGTCCGTTTTTATTGTATTAGGGTCTGAACATCTATGCTGGACCAGGACTGCAAGGTACATGAGAGCAGCTTCAGTGACAGACTGATCCACCCTCTGTGTGAGGTTTTTCTTTCTGCTCCTGTCAGACAGTACAATGAACATAGTCGACCCTTGGGAAGTTCCTGTAAATTCCTGGCCCACCTTGCATAAACTGCATATTTGAGATCTCCCACATCAATTATGTTAATATAATTTGGAAATAAACCACTAAGGATGACCGACTTTGTTGTCATTTATCTTCTCCAAAAATGCCCAAAACAATGAAATCTATGGCTGGGTGTGTAAACTTTCAAGCACAACTGTACACAAACAACTTGCTCTAAACACATTCAAACCTTCAAAGACAACAGATTCTCCACATAGCACATAAGATGTCTGTTTAGCCTGAATAGTTTTGCAAAACTCGTTAGTTAACAGGAGCATCCTGTCCTGGGGCAGTCCCCTACAGTGACAAAAGTCTGCGCCACGTGGATCACAGAGCAGCAGCATCAGCAGGAGCGATTACCAGCCCACCCACTGCCTCAGCACTCTGCTATTCTCAAAACCACAGCCTCCACACTCCTCTGCCACTGTCCTACATACACACATCCTATATGACATTTAGAGCTTTCATTCTGCACGCACAAGGCCATCATACATGCGTCCATTCAAGAGTCAAGACCAGTTATTCCCTTTCCAGAACTTAACTTAAAGCTGCTACACCCAATTTCAAAAAGTCATGAGCTGACAACAACTTTTGTGCTCTAAACCAGTTTAGATTTATCACTAGTTTTCTGGCCTCTGACACAACTATAGATCAGGCTCAAAGAGAAAAGAGTGACACAAAAAAGTTAGGTAACCAAGCTTTAACATTGGCACGCATACTCCGCGGCCAACCCCACAGGTCATCTCAAAACGTCCTAACATCACATCCCGTCTACACAAAACCTTTTACACCAACAACTTTGGGACAATAAAGTCCCTATGTCTTTAAAAGACAAACAATAAAACACATACTCACGTTGGACAGCTCTTTTCCCCTTATTCAACACCATACTATACTGACTCTATTTATTACATTGTCTTGTCGGCTTTTCACTCCATTGGTTTATTTATGTCTAGCTAGAACAGTTCCCGAGATGAAAAAAAAAAAATTTGTTATAATGGCTAATAATAATTTCTGTGGATTCCAACTAAAACACTTCAAAAGGAATCATATTAGTGACACACTGCTCAGAAACACATCTCCTTAATTGAAAACTTGCAGTGACTTTATTTAGCTTTGAAGATGGAGATGAATGATTCTCAGATTGGGAGCGTGTGATGACTGCATCAGACCAAAACCTTGGACTCTGAGGCGTATGACCTCATCGTCTGTTGGAAAGTCACTGGTGGGCAGACGCCGCTCCGCCACAGAACGGCTGTAAAAATATGACTAATGACAATGTGGAAAGAGCACAGGGCAAACCTCCAAACATCCACCAGCACGATGACGAGGACTACACTGCACATGAGCAAAGTTTTAGAAAGTAAAGCTGTGATACCTAACTTCTTAAACCACAATAAAAGTGTCAAAAACATAAATCCATGTATGTTCCTTGCTCTCAAAGTAGTACCTGCATGTATTTTGGCCTCTGTCACATCTTTATATAAGATTTTCAGACAGAAAAGTGAAAAAGAGACGACCCACTCACTCAGCCAATCAGCTCTCAGCCCAAAGACTCAAATTGTGAGTCACAGGGATCCTTCTGTGTTCTAACGAGATGAAGACGCATGTTGTGGTCTAACACTTTCACAAAATGTTGCTTTTAAAAGACTTACTGTTGGGACAATGTATTTTTTTTAATGAAACCTCAGCTTTGTCATTGGTTTCTGAGTCGACCAAAGTTGCTACTCGTAATTCTCTCGGTCTATATGAGGTCACTTTCTTTCAAAACTAAAAATTACCAAAAATACCACATTATTGGTGAATGTATATATAGTTTTAGATTCTGATGCTTCCGTTTGCGTTGCGTGTCTCTCATACAACGAATTATGAATCAAGATTGTATATAATGTTTGTTTTTTTTATAGTTTGTTTTAAAGAATATTTTTTATAGCACAGGCTTCTGTAATACGTTGTTATGCACAGCAGAAAACAGTGTGTGATGTGGAGGTTTGGCAGAGTATTGTGTTGCTTTTGCAGATAAAGGTGCTGTTTACTGGCACATCTGCAGACTCAGGAATTCTCTGGCTCAGATTTTGGTCAAGTCACCAGCGCAACAAACATCTCCTTTTTGTAAATGTATCGATGCAAAGAGATACATTGTAGAAGAAAGTGTTTCGTTTGCTGCTGCGCTTAATGTGTTATATATCTTTTTATTTTTGAGAGAGAGATCAGGGTCCTATGTAATCAAACAAGAGGAATGAGAGGAATCTGAAAAATGCACCTGCCTCACCTGTGTGAAGCAGATACACACACACACTCACACACACACACACACACAGACCAACACACGTGCACACACACACACACACATATACAGACCAACACACACACGCTCACACACACACACACACATATACAGACCCACTCACACACACACATACACAGACACAACACACACACACTCACACACACACACACATATACAGACCAACACACACACACACACACATACACAAACCAACACACACACACTCACACACACACACACATATACAGACCAACACACACACACTCACACACACACACACATATACAGACCAACACACACACACTCACACACACACACACACATACACAGACCAACACACACACACACATACACAAACCAACACACACACACTCACTCACACACACACACACACACACACACACACACACACACACACACACACACACATACACAGACCAACACACACACACATGCTCACACACACACACACATGCACGCTGACGATTTAAACATAGAAAACATGGAGGATTTACCTAATTATAGTCTGCCATCTACAGTAATAGTATGTTACATTTGTGGTTTTACTCTTTTCAGGAAAACCGACTGGAACTATGTGTTCAGTAACAAACTCATAGAAAGACGTTATAATGATGTTCAAACATTTCATAGATTTCAAGCAAACATTTCATAGATTTATATCTCTAAGAAAATACTTATTCTACAAAAGATCTATCTAAATACTGTAATCTATAACAGTGTTTTTCAACCAGTGTGCCGTGGCTCGGTGGTGTGCCCTGAGATGGTGTTTGATGTGCCTTTGGACATTACCCAATCCCACACACTTGGTCAAAATAATGTGAAAATAAAACAAAGTAGAAGATTAGAAAGACTTTTATGTGTATGTTTGATTTTCTGCACAATACACTTTGATAAGAATGACTTTGTGATTGTAATGAAGGCTTCACAGTTTAAGATTTGTATTAGTTTCAACTCGTGGTGTGCCGCGTGAACGTTTACGATAAGAAAGGTGTGCCACGGCTGAAAAAGGTTGGGGAACACTGATCAATATGACTCTCCGAAAAAATGAAATATCTAAATAACACATAAAATGACTTGATTTCAGTTGATCAATAGAAGATTACTTTAGATAGACTGAAATGGAAAAAAGCCATGGATTTATAGATTCATTGAAAAGGCTCAACAACATCAAAGCATCTGTTGAACTTGCTTTTATGAACTTGCACAATAAGCCTCCTTTTGGCTATAATTGGCTAAAAATAAAAATCGCTACGCAACAAAAGATTAAAAAACGCTACTCATGGAAGAATCATAGTAGAATTATGATGAGCGCGGCTGAATGAAACTACGGCGAAGTGTCCCAGCAGCAGTGACCGTGTTGTTTCAGCGTTCATAGCTCCAGGCTTTGGGAGTAACAATAGGAAGCCGGACAGTACAGGGAAACATTGGAAGTGCTGGAAAATGTGTAGCGTAGCCAACGACTAACTGTAATTACAGAGCAGAATGAGGGAAACCAGGAAGGAACCCTCTGCTGGTCTGATAAGCAGCCACCATGTCTCCAAAAGCGGCTTCTCTCTATTTGAAAAGCAGATTAGAAAAGTAGTGCATAGCTATAACATCAGTAATAACTCCTCATGGGCAGAAAAAAGGAGTAAAGTGCGTGATCGCCGCATGACTTCACTGGACAATAATTTCTCAAGACATGCTGATTAAAAAGCAGCACTGAGCCAAAATCTCTCAAGAAACACTCATTTTGAAGGCAGTTAATTTGACCTACATTCTCCAGCTCGGTCAGAAAACATATTTAGTGAACACAACGATATGGGGAAAAGCCGGCAATTGCAATGATCGTTTTCTCAAAACAGTGGCAGGCTGAAGGACTGGGGGACACGTGTAAACCCTTAGCAGGAATAGAAATCGCAGTAAGCCAACGATCACTATAAATAGATTTGGAATGGATGAATAGACTATGAATGCAGCCACTTCAAATGTTTGTTGACTTGATGGCTTCAAAGACAAGATCCAAGATGTGTTGTATTGTGAGTGTTTTCCACGGTTATGTCTATTTGTGTGTGTGTTTCTCTGTGCATGTGTATGTGTGTGTTGTGCGTGTGTGTAGGTGTGTTTATGACAGGCGCATAGACATGTTATTGAAAGCGATACCAACTTTTAAATGCAAATAGGTCAAAGAACAGGTGTAGAACATGTTAAAAGTATTTCCATCTCGATTCGAATAATTCAGACTGACGTTAAGTCTCTTGGCCAGTGATTTCAGCACATTCATTGGCAGAAGCTGCTGTCAGAGGTGCCAGCCGTTGTGTGTGTGCATGTGATTGTATTTGTGTGTATATGTAGAGGTTGAGCTGTAGTAGTCTGTAGTAGTGGTCAATGAAAAAACTGAAAACGTTTCCCCTGATAACTTCTTGCCGTTTTATATCATCTTCATTCCAAACGTGTCCACGGCTGTGTTAAAGGTATAAATACGGATTTTCTACTTCTGGGTGGATCATCAAGACTATTGGTCCTCCCAATTGTCAATCATTCTGGTGATAAGTGCTCGTCAATTAAGACCAGAGAGTTTTGTTCAATAAGTGGAGAGGGCGGTTCTTTCCTAAAATTTGGGAAAATCCTCCAACAAACCTTTAAGTGAAGAAACCCATACTTAAACACTTAAATGTCTAATCTCAGTTTCAGAATGCACCTAATGGCCTGTCACCTGGAGAGCTTACATGCATACTAGAGTGGAGCTGTGTACAAAGTGTCGACACCACCACCACCACACCTTTCTCTATAATGCAGTTTGGGCCATTACAAGCCCAGAGGCGCTTCACAGGCGACAGGTGAGGTAAGCTGCAGTCACTGAAAGCATAAGTGTCTCAAATTCGTTAACATGTACCAGCAGGGTCACAGGACAAGTTACAACTATACAGACCCTTATTCAAAGGCAGCAGAAATGTCTTCTCAGAATGCATGAATAAACAAACAAAACAGTGTATGAGGGACACATATAAAATGGCATCATTAGTCCTAAACAATGATACAACTTTTATACAACAAATATTTTAAAATGTCATTGTAGTGAATTGAATTTGCTCATATCTGTCCGCTTTGCTCATGTCTGTGTGTTGTGTAGATTGTTTCTGTCATGCATTCATATAAAATAGTCTATTTATCGATGTAATGAATATCTTACCTTTGTCACAGTAGCTTCAGTGGTCTCATCTCCCATTCCCTGACCTGTGTACAGTATGAGACAGGTCAGAGAGAAATGCAGTAGTCAGAAGTCACTGGGCGGTGCGCAGGCAGACAGACACGCCTGCTCCTGTGTTCAAAAGGAAACCAACACCGGGAAATATGCCTAAGTTAGAAAAACAGAGGTGATCAAAATAAGGGATTTTCGTTCATCTAAAGGACCCTCTTGATGTGATTGTTTGTGTTTGTGTCTGTGGATGTTCTACAGGTCTGTGTGGGCTTGAAACGCTGGAGCGAAACCAAACACAATGTTGCTCTCGATAAATTTGTGTCAGAAAGTTATATAGAGGAAAGAGGCGTTTATGGTCTGACGCCATCTGGTGGACAGTCTGCCAAACTGATATAAATAATGTCAACAACAAAAAAGTATGTTTGTCGCATGAGTTTAGATTCCAATAATTGTGTGTCAATAATCTAGGCCTTTTAAACACGTTTTCACTTGAATTTCCAAAGCAAACTGAATAGATTAAGTTGGTCGCACAGTTTAAAGTATTTTGATAATTTAGTTGCACCATATGGAGTTCGCACACGAAGCTGTCCTCATTTTAAAGCGTTAAGAAGTTACTCAAATGGCACTTTCTATAGAACAAATTATACTTTAGATTCACACTGTAATGTATGCATTATATCTTTATTTATTTATTAGATTGCTGTACGCTCAACTGTTGTAAATGTATGTATGGAAAACCTCAAGGCTTCTTAATATTTATGTGTGAGAGCTGCTGGTCAATAGATCTACAGTCCGTACACGTCGGCCCACTTTGATGGCTGCAACATGCGCGGGGTAGAGCCGGGATAGAGTCGTGATCACATGGTCTCCCCAGCATCACCACCACACCCTCAGTGCAGCAGCAGCAGACCCAGCAGACCCGGCAGACACAGCAGGCTGCAGGATGCTGGCTCTCCTTGCGTTGGTCCTCGCAGCTCCCGTCCAGGGCATCCTCCCGGACACCGTGGACTCAGGCCTCAGTCACATCCTGGGACATGTCTGGTCTCAGGAACCCGCGGGTCTGGAAGAGGAGCAGCTGGTGCAGGGAGCAGAGCCGCAGGTAAACTATCAACATGAACCTGTTCATATTGTGCATGTTATTCACCGTGTGCTTCTCTGCCACATCATTGTCATTGATGTTTGTCTCAGTTAAATGACAGTGCCACTGCCCCTTCGCCAAGCCCCACGACCCCTCCAGACATTACTGTCTCTCCCCTGGTAAGTGATACAACTGTTTGATGAACAGAGAAACATGCTTACGCTCCTTCACCCCATACTATTATTTTATACAGGATACAAATGGTACATCTACGACTTACCAGCCGAATGACTTGGACAACAATATTTATCATGTAAGTCTGCTCAAAGTGTAATGACAGTCATAAAGGCTCATAAAATAAATTATATTCTCTTTTGCCTCTTTGTATTTGTGTAGTTGCTTCCTGTGTATTTTTGTAATGTATGATGCTCTGTATTTTGTTTACTAAAGGGCTGCATCACTGATGATGACTGTGAGAAGGGAGGATTCTGCCTCTCTCAAGCACACCGCTCTAAATGCATGTCCTGTAAAGCCCTTGATGTGGTAGGTAAATGTTTAAGTTTTACGCTAGTGCAGATGGGTCACGCTTGACTGCATTGCAGTGTGTCCACAGGTGTAATCAGAGCAGGACAACTCTGTACTCTGAGTTCCCTGGTCAATTTGCGCTCTGTAGAAGTCTACATACAGTTTTTACTGCTGATTCACTGCACAAAAGTTGGCAATTTTATGACTTTTAAGTTGCACTGAGTCCTGTTCCATCCTTCTGTGTCAAACTGTTTTCAGCCATGCACCAGAGATGGGGAGTGCTGTGATGGTCAGATGTGCGTTTGGGGCCAGTGTACTGCGAGTGCTTCCAAAGGAGAGGCTGGGAGCACATGTCAGACCCAGAGTGACTGTGGCCCAGATCTCTGCTGTGCTTTCCATAAGGGTATCGCAAAACATCACTAGAAAATCACTGGTTAATGTGATGTCACCTTACAATATTTGTTTCCCACTGTGCAGCACTGCTTTTCCCAATCTGCCTGTCAAAGCCCATCGAGCGTGAGCAGTGTTTCAGTGCCTCTAACCATCTCATGGAGCTTCTGTCCCAAGACCCTCAGGACCAGGGGCCAAGAACACACTGCCCATGTGTTGGGGATCTCCACTGTCAGCATTTGGGGTGAGCGATCCTACAAGTATGCTAAAAATTCCTTTGAAATGTAATTTTGGAGTGAATGGTCTGAATTTTATTTTTTTCCTACCATTGGACAGACGAGGGTCCATGTGTCTGAAAGGAGAAGACTCAAGTGAAGAAGATATAACGGACAATCTCTACTCTGAAATAGACTACGTAATATAAATGGCTAATGTAAATAAGCAATCGCTAGATCCAAATTCAAGCTTTAACATACTTTAGGCTCAGCCTGCCTCTTCACTACTCACAGAACATGAAGACTAAAACAGATATTTATTCTCTCATGTATTTCACTTACATAGTTACCCTCATCACCTACTGAGTGTCAATTCAGCAAGCAATTGAAATATGCATCATTATTATGCATTTGAACTTATGCAAGTATATATAAAGCTGCTACTGTTATAGAAGTTGTATACCTCCTTATTGTTGCTGCCCACCATAGGCCTATAAAACAATCTAAAATCCTTCAGGACACAAAGTAAACATTTGAGGATTTTAAATTCAGCACTTGCACTTCTGTTCTCCAAAGATTTCAGACATGTTTGATGATCTATCTATCTAAAGTTGCAGAAAATGTAGGATTTTTTATGATCCTTTTTAATTGAAAATATTTTCTTAATGTAAATGTAGTCAGAAATATAAATATAATTTCAAACTTGTGGTTTTTGAGCAGTGCTGTGCTTGAACACAATGGCAGGATTCTGGACTTGCACAAACTAGCCATGTGCCCAAAGCTCCAGCTGTCTGCACAGGTGGAGAAACTGATAAAAAAAACATATTATATTGCGGCAAGGTAAATATGTTACACATTTGTACAGCAAGGCGGATGGAAGACAACAGGAGACAACACCAGAGACAAACACTTCAAAAGTCACATGTTTGTTTTAACATTTACATTATTTTCGCCTAAGGTCCAACACTGATCATGTGAACATTCTTGAGTCTAGAGGTCACATCTATGAGAGCGAAGGACAAAGAACTTCACATATGAATGAAGGAGTCACTGACATTTTTTGCAGGAAAGTTGCAGCTGATCATGATTTTGCAAATCTTTTACTACTTCTTAGTTGAGATCAAATGGTTGCAACGTTCTGGAGGGAGTGATCATTTCTAACTTTAAAGAGCGTGGTGAGCTACTGGTGGCTCATGAGCTATAGGTTAAAGACTCCCTGTGTCCTCTGAACAAAAGGACTCTGCAAAGGGAGTAATGAGTCAGTTGCTTGATTATTTTGAGAGTCTAGGCCTGAGAAAAAAATCTTTTATACAACCATGGTGAGTTTTTTGAGGGCCCTTACTCTGCCTGGTGAATTGAGTAAAATAAAATATTTTACTTAAGTCTATATAATTAAATTGCCTACGTTCCTTGTGGTGGCTCAGTCTGAGGCTAGAACACACCAGCCATGTTGTGGATCGCATGAAGCGTAAATCAACGGCGTCTTTGTCAAATCAGCACTCAGTAATTACAGTTTAACTCGGGTGTTTTCTGTATGGTGCTGCTGTCTGCTGCCCATTAGAATAAGCCACATTTTCAGGTATCTTAAGCACAGAGAAGTCACAGTGGAATCTGAACTAGAGGGGCTAAAGTGATATTCCTAAAGTGAAGAATCATATTTGGCGATGGGAGTCAGGCTTGGGTGAGGGTGGACAGCTCCAGAGACCAGACACTTGGAGGTAGATTGTTCCATGGGTTGAATTGTGTTCAATCATTCACCATACTCACCACTAGTTTATTGTCCCACAACAGGCTCCACTGGTTTTAATACGTCGTTTTTGATGAAAGAAGTTTGGACATCTCTGAATTAGAAAGAAACTATTAAAAAAAAAAATCATTTTAATTTGTTTCTAAAATCATCATAAACTATTTTCACACAGGATTTTAATTTTCAAAGAAATAAACAACAAACATATTATTTATACATTGGCTTTTCTACAGTGACAGCTGGTGGCAGCATCAGAACCCAGGGAACTGCAACACTGAGCTGGAGTCTTCAGTGTCTGGCAGAGGATCACAGGTACATATAGATGGGTAAAGAACTTAAATTTACATAAATTTAAATACATGAATGGAAAAAAGCAGAATTATTTCACCTATCCATGGGAGGAGTTATGAGGATGCCAATTGAATACCATTTCTGATTAAATTCAAGTGTGATGGCATATTAGATCATTTTCACTGATTTGGTGTATTTTAGAATAATGTGGTAACTATACTGAAGAACAGACAACATTAAATCGACTTCTCCCATAAATAAAAAAGGTGAATGTGTAAAATAACCCTAAAAGACAGACACCTTGTGGCTCAATATCACAGTCCCAAAACCTGCATCCACCTCAACATCCTGTATTTGAATGAGTTATCTGTACAGCACTGATGCGTTTGTAATGATTCTTCCCTTTACACTTTACAGTTAAATACACTAGTGTACAGAGTCGACACCCTACAAAGAAGGGAGGGACCAGCTTTGCAACGGTATTGGATGTGCGCAACAATATTGTGAGCCTGATGCTCTCACAGAGACCTGCTCCACTGTAGCAGTCCGGGAGTTTGTGCTTTAGTCCTGCCCCGTGTCTTTGGAAGGGCCTCCGTCCAGGTAGATCTTTAGGGCCTTCTCTTTGCGTGGGGAGTAGCTGACGCGCTGCCCAGTCTTCAGCAAACGGCTGCTTTCCTTCTTCATTAGCTCACTGCGTTCATCTTCAGACAGCTCCAACAGCTCCTCTGTGCTGTCCCTGCAGTTAATAGATACATTAATGACATGTCCGAAATAAACTGCAGGGAATAACGATTCAATCTAATCTTCAAATTGATCTGCTAAACCAGCAGTTATCAAACTTTTCCTTTAAAAAAACTATTACTTCAAAATCCAAATGACTGAATTAAACAAATAATTTAACCTCATACAGAAGACGCTTGGTTACCCCAGTTGGAGAAGCTTTGCTAAAAACAACCTGGATTGAAATTCACCAGTGTGCAAGAGTATTTTTCAGGAATTTTATGTCAAACAAATAAAGGTGGTGTCCTTAAACGTTTTTAAGAGAGGACCACTAAAACAAAGATACAATGGAAATGTGTGTGAATTACCAGAGTGCATTGCAAACAAACCCAAAAAGTTCTCCACATACTGTATTGAGCATAGGCAGACTCAAAGTCCTAATAATACCAGACTTTCACTGGAAATGTACCTGAAGAAGACCACAGCGCCGTCATCACAGATGTAGAGAGGCCACACATTAAGAGTAGAGACTTTGGGGTTCCAGTCCAAATCATGGTGAATTTCCAGCACAGAGATGTCGCAAGGAAATGTCCCTCTTCCCTGGATCATAGAGACATCAGTCAGTGGAATTTAAAATAAAAAATAAAACATTATGTTGAATGTATACCTTTGCAAACTCTAGATTTTCCAGAGGAATATCACTGAGTTGGCTTAGCTGCACACATTATGTTTGTTATGAATTATATAGGATACATACTGAAAGGAATAGGAATGAAGATATGATTATTGATAAAACAATACCTTTTCTTTCAGTTCCTCTACACCACTACTTTCCAGAATTACTTCCTGGAAAGAACCAAGTTTCATTGTGGCCGGACTCCACCTTCGAGTCAGAACTGCCAACTGTGACATCGACTTCATTTTCTCTGGTTCTAAAGAACAGAAACTAATATTTAAACAAACTGGATCTTTTCATCTTTTCAAATAATAAATTACCATTGAGAATTTCCAGAAACACCTCCCAGTTGGAAGAGATACTAATGTCCTCCTCGTAGATATGGTAGTCCAGAAACACAGTGCCTGGATTCTTCCAGGTCTTTTTCCTGAGACGAACTCTGAAAGAACATCACAAACACAGAAGCACGTGTATTACTCAGTGCAGGCTCCCGTTAGGAAGAAGAAAACACCCTCCATCTTACATTTTTAGATTGGCTCAGAAAATCTGCTCTCAACCAAAAAAAAAGTCAAATAGTGACTCACAGGCTCTTAAAAGTAAGCAAAACGCATTGAAGACGTGGTTTGCGGTCTGATTTATCCCCAAAATGTACTTTACTTGGATACAACCAACATGCCTTTCCACTGAAAGGGAAAATGTAGGTGCCCTAGTTTAATTCAGTGAGTTTTAGATGAGGTTCAGGAAGAGACACAGTGGCAAGACAGAAAAAGTAAGGAGGTTCCCATTCTTAATCCCGGTCCACCCCCATCGGCCCGGAGTGGTATTGCAAGCATGTCAGCGCACGTCATTTTGGACATTTCTGAGCCGCGACCCGGCCCCACTGGTACAAATGCACATGGAGACGAGTACAATACCACCCCCCACATTGACATCAGCTGTTATCATACTCTTACTAGCACATCTGCCTTTGTGCTCAATAAAATGTTCCATCAATAGTACAATTGGTACAGAATGTTATTAAAAAGCATATTGCATATATATATCTTTATAGACAGATGAAATGCACTGTTGTGAGCTGTTGAATCATCACAAAAGGCACTGCTATAGAAACCTTATGCACATTAGTTTCTCAACCAAATGTGAATATGGTGAGGTCAAAATGGTTCATTCCTACACATATCTAAAATTTAAAAAACAAATATTTGTACCATTTTATGATTTAAGGGTATGTATTCTGAGTGATTTATGCATTTCAATTTTTTCCTTCACAACAAAGCGTCAAGACTCTTCACAACATGCAGCACCGTACCTGTCAATGCTGAGGTCAAGCTTGCATTGCTCTTTTAACTGAGGAAGGAGTTCTTCTTTGGACTGTCTGACTGTCATGCCCTTTGCAAACACTGTATCCATCAGGAACTTGCAAGGCTGTGATTGAGAAAAACATTCATTTTAAAAGGTAATTAAGTGATGATTGTCGTCAGACTGACTGAAGTTTCTTACCTCTGCTTCATTCACAAGAAGTTGATAGACCTTCACTCGGTATTCACCTTTTTTAAGCGCTCTTCCAAGTCTTATGGTAATCTAGTGAAAACCTCTCAATATGAGCATTATTAAACAAACATGGGAAATATTCACACAAAGGAAATACAAGACTAACCTTGTTGTCATCCGAGAAGGATGAAAGAGTTTCATTCAGACGCACACTCTCAAACTCCTGGTTGTTGGCATAGACTCTGAAAACTTTGAATTGTGTCGAGGGGACTCCCACGTAAGGCTCCAGGTTCACTTTAAAGGCAGCTAATGTTATCCTTTTATCCACATGAACCACCAAGCCTGAAATTAAAATTGATAAAATATATCAGTCTAAAATAAAAATTTGAAGTTTGTAGTCATAATTGAACTTTAACTTTTCCATATTATCAGTTGAAAATATACATTTTTGTGTGTCCCACGTGGAATCATCATGAGAGCAAGGCTCTGCTTTGAAGTAGAGGTACTGGGCCTCAGCTTTGCACTTTCCATTATCATCATACTCGCTGTCTGTTCCTGAGTCTTCTTCAGCCGTGTCCCAAGTTTCCTTTTTGCCCTCATGGGCTTTAGAGCGTCGGCTGCTTGTGATGCTGTGAGAGTCTAAGCCATTGGCCAGTTGGATGGGTCCACTTTCTGCATTACACAGTGTGTCACTACTGTGACTGGAGCTCAAGATGTCACTGTCAACTGAGCTAGTGCTGCGGTCATTAATGACCTCCGAGTCAGAGCGTTCTTCAGAGGCAAACACTGTCTCTGCGTCAGAAACGCCACTACCTGGTGTGGCCTTGATCCGGTTCTCCAGCTCTCTGTTGTCCACAGCAACACACATGGAAGAGTTTGCATCTGCTTCTTGAGTGGGAGACTCTATGTGTTCAAAGTCACTGGTGTCAGAGCTCTTCTGGCTGTCACTGTTGGATCCCTGCTGTTGCTGCAGAGACAAGTTCTTTAACTTTTCTGTACTTTCCTCCAGGATAGCCTCTACAGACTTGCTGTTGCCCTTTGAATCATCTAAGGGCCCATCAGAGTCACTTCCTGTCTTTTGGCAAAGAGTCCTATTAGCCAAAGTGCCAGGAGACTGTTGGGGAAGTAAAACTAAGAGCCGGATTGTATTTCCATGACGGTCCAAAAGTTTCCATAAGAGTGAGTCAGTGAATGCAACCTGATGATCTATTGTCTCCGAGCTCTCCACAAAAACCTTAATGATGGGAAACAAATTGTATCATTACTAATTAAAGAAAAAAAAATTGGTTACAACGAGCCATCAGAATAAAAAGAATTACCTTGTTACTTCGGAAGAAACCTTCAGATTTCAGTGTTTTGTTGGGTACATAGAGTAGTCGTAGGTCATTGTAGCAGCGCTCTAGGACCACACGCATGGTCTCTGCAGATAGCCCTGTAGCCTGTAAGCCAACAAACATAATAAAGTCAACCCTCAAATGGGAATGGCTAACACTCTCAGCCACAAAGTGTACCTGTGCAATAAGCTGCTTGAATTCAGTGATCGTCTGGTTCAGGTATGCCCGAACACTGACAGGAGAAGCTATGATCTCACTTTTCAGATCGACAACATGAACTTTCACCATCACTTCTGTTGAAAATATATAGAGTTAACATACATTCAGTTGCTAGAAAACATGTAGCAACTTGCCTCCGGGTTTGTATGGCTGAAAGACTTGCTCTGGTCTTCGCATCTCTAGAAGCAAGTCAAACATGTACGAGGATTTGACCCCTCCAAGCAGTAGTCCCATCGGCGTGTCCTCCTCCCCTTCATAAGATTGCTCCAGATACTCATGAAACTCATCATATTTCACCAGTCGACAACAGTCTAGAGGAACCACCTCTTGGAGCTCCATCAACTGGGCAACAGGAAACAAAAGTTATCATAATAAAAGGTCAGTCAAACAGATCATATACATAAATAAAACCAACCTTGTAGGACATCTCTGTTGCTTCACTGAGAGTTTTGTCTTTATGCACTTCAAGCTTGCTCTCCATCATCATCTTCACTGGATGCATGCAGAAGAGCTTGATCTAGTTGAAAAGAAAATCACCAAGTCTAAGTAATCTTTCAAAATGGAAAATGATACATTTCCCAGCAGATCCATACCTTACAAGTGTTGCGCTCAATCTCCCTTTGCCTCTTCTCTTGCTCCTCGGACTCCTTTTCTTTTTGTACCACACGTGTTATGTGCTCTGGGAAGTCTTCCACAGCTAAATACTCTGATTAGAATTGATTACAATAATGTCAGCCAACATACAATATGATTAAAGCAGGTTATATAATTATTTGTTTCAAGCGTTTTCATACTTGCATTCCTTATGGGATCTTTTAATCTGTAAATCAGCATGTATGCATTTGCTGAACTGTAGAGAAGGAAATCAGTGAATGTTATAACAAAAAGCAAAATGCAACATGTAAGTAACATGTAAATGTGACTAACCTAGCAAAAGCGCTTGAATAGTAGCCCCTGCTTCCTGAGGAACCACCAAATGTTTTTCTAATATCATCTTGGGTGATCTGTGGAACATTTACCAAGTAGAAAAACAATGTACAATGCACGTTTCATCTAATCAAATACAACATTTACACAACTGACCTTACTAACATGCTGATCATTAAAGCTATACCATTGGCCATCACTGAAGGACTTGATGCAGGCGTAGTAGTGCCCCCCAGCAGCACTTCCCGAATGAACCATGACAGAAAACAGCTCATAGGTCAGCATGTTCTACGGTAGAAAATTAATGTAATCAACTTACATCTGAGAATAAAAACAATTACACATGTTACTTCTAGGGTATACCTTTGGTTTCAACACCCTTTCTGTGCTGCTGCTATTACTGTCCAGGCAGATGCCTTCATCCACACAGTCATCAGTGGAAAAATCATTGCTCATCTGGTCACTGTGGCAACTACCTTCATTCTCTGCTCCACTATCTGTACAACTCTCAGTCTGGGGGGACTTCTGAAAGAGATACATTTGCAGCATTTACAAATGTAAACATTTGAAATGTGTGTGTAAAAAAAATAATAAACTTAGCATGCTAGGTACCTCATCTTCTACATCAATGAACGGACTCATATCAAGTTCCTCTGGAAAAGTCATGCGGTCATTGAGTTTAATGCGATGCATAGTGGTGTAGTCAAAGTCAAAGCGTTTAAGTTGGAGTGTCAGCAGGTAAGGAAAGTGCAGAAATCTCAGACCCTGTAATTAGATAAAACATTAGTTACCAACAATAAAATAGCCACGCATGTGACCTCTTATCCTGCTCACCTTCCGGGCATCACATTTTTTCTTGCAACGCTCACAAAAGTATTGATTGGGTCCATCCAAGGTTTCAGGCTGAATAAATGCCTGTAAAGCTTCCTCCTAATAACACATGCATCATATTCATTCATATGCAACTTGTACTGTTACAAAATGATATACATTGTGTAGAAGAAAGTTTGAACGCACCACACTGCAGTAGGCCTGGCTGGCTCCAAAGGGTCTAATTACAAGCGGAATGTCCAGGTAAGTATCATTCCTCCAGCTCTCATAGCCACACTCCAAACAACGAACATAATCCTTCAATTTCCCCTGGTACAGCTGGTTGATCAGATCGGCCTGAGGGAAGAAGGCATGACTGTCAGCAGTTTGATATTTACAATAAAGCTTTGTATTATGAAAATAAAATGATAAGCATGACCAAGCGGGTACTTGCAATATTTTATCCAAGATAAATTCCTACCTGCTCTGTCTGCTTCCACTTTTGCTCAAGAGCATCGAACATAACCCTGCATAGCTCTTGCACATCGTGTTGTTGCCATGCTGAGAACACAAGAGATTAATACTGATTTGTGATAAGTAGGTCAATGTTGTATTTAAAGTTAGCCAGAAACTAAAATGGATTAAACAGCTGCCTAACTGATTTTTTATCAGTTAAGCAGCTTTCAAATATAACTAGTACTGCAGACACACCTTCGCTGCTGTCCCAACCAAAACTTCGGGTCACATCAGTAGTCTCAATAGCACGTTTCTTACTCGTCTGAAGCAGAACAAACAACCGCTGCAGCTGATATGGAATGCTGGTAACTGGGTCCTCTTCCAACTCTTCAAACTCCCAGCTGAAATCATATAAAAATGTTATACAGATGCAAACAGTTAGTGTCTCACCATAGCCAATTTAGACAATAATCCTTACTTGTACAGTGCATTTCTGAACTCTGGAGTCATAAACAGTGTCTGGAGAAGGCTGTTCAAATAGCAGGTCATAGCCTGGTTCACTAAACCAACATAACCTGTGAAAAAACAAAATCAAAAGAATGCCAATTGAATTATACAGTATTGTCCAATCAGACATTTAGGGTGTATTCAGACCTGAAAAGTCCTTTGCTCCGCTTGCTTGATCCGAATCAAAAGCGGACCAAACTTTTTTCTTTTGCTCCGGTTCGTATTCAGACTGTCCTTTTTGCAAGTGAACTTTTTTATATAAACATATCGACACGTGTGACGATCGGCGCTCCTATTGGACAGAGAGAGCTCACGGAGGATAGATGCGGAACCGGAGGAAAACATTGAGGGTTCGTATGTGCAGCATGTCTGCTCTGTCTATGTTTGCTCTTTTTAGAGCAAAACCACCTTCAACAGCAGCTCATATGACACAGGCCAAACACGTCGTTTTAAATATTGGAACAGCGTCGGAGAATGCGTGAGGAGAAAGCCGAAGGAGACTGTCTGTGCGCTCCGTGTCCTGTCCTGTCCCACACATGGATCTATTATAATAACGGCCCTGTTCAGCATTGTGGATAAACCATGGATCTATAATAACCACGGGAAAACAGACGCTGAGGATCAGGTATGAACCAAAGAACACAATTCACTACATGATGCGGAATATTGCTCTTTGAGACGTGAGTCAAACAGTGTCAGGCTTTTAATAATGCAAATGGTTTGAAGATGCTGCCATTAACATCAATGTATACTGTGAACAGTTTTAACTCCATAAGCCTGTTGCACAGCGTCTCCTCACTGCTCCAGGTCTGCACACGGCTCAGTGTTGTTGTGTAGCGTTAGCAGCATAGTTCGCAGCATAGTTAGCAGCATAGTTAGCAGCATAGTTAGCAGCATAGTTAGCAGCATAGTTAGCCGCTGCGTGGCTAATTCCTCAGTTTCTGTCTGCGGCTTGTTAAGCCCAAAAAATGCGCACGTATCTTGGAGTTGTGTCGGATCGACACCGGATGTATTCAGACCTGATTCGACTTGGACCAGAATTCGTTTCGGTTCGGTTCTTTGGTCCGGACCAGGATTCGTTTGTGTGTATTCAGACCTGCATAAAAAGATTCGGATCAGAGTTCCAAACGAATCCTGGTCCGTTTAAAGTGGAGCAAATGTGCAGGTCTGAATACACCCTTACATAGCGGAGTAGATATTTTGTCAATTAAAAGTTGTTTTTCTAAAGTAAACAAAACAGATCATTCAAATTTTCAGGCAGTTAAAAAACAAACCTGTTTCAGACTTGTTGAGGATGGAAGAGTAGGAATATGATGGGCTGCTGTAATCACCACTGCATCCCACAGTGCCATCTCTAGGTAAAGGTCCAATAAAGCGCTCCTGAGAACTGTCTTCCAGCTCGCTACTTTCGGCTCCTCTCGACTCTTCCTGAAAACAGAATAGACACCTATATATCTTGTTCACAATAAAATGTACACATTCTACTTTGACCCACCGATGCAATGTGTGGCTGCTCTCCATCTTTGTCGGTTAAATGTAGGTAATTCCTCTTTCCCCCAGGTTCAAACCCAGAGTTTACCAGGGACATATCACTGGTGTGGTCCAGTGATGGCTAAAAAACATACATCATGTACATTATTGGTAATCATTAGATACTTTGTACTTACACTTTGTTGCTCATCTCACAAACAAATAAAAACAGCAAAACCTACAAAAAAGGTACTAAACAATCATTAAGATTATTTTCAGATATTGTAGCCAACAAGTTTGGTGTACAAGCACAGCTCTAGACAGCATTTGAGTAACCCACTGCTGTGGAAACATACAGAAGCTTAATCCAATGACCTACTCAGTGAGATAACAACAGGCACTGCACCTGGCTTGGGTCAGCAGAAGGATTAGTCTGGGTTCATTTAAGAAAGCAGGCTTTAGTAAATTGGAATAAATAAGGGTAATATTTTGAATATTTTCCATAGAAAATAAATAGATGGGATGCGCATACTGTTATGAGGTACAAGACTTCGACGTGTATATGCAGGGAGAAATGTATCAACATTTTTAAGAAAGAATTGCACCCTCAAATTACTTTAGATAATTCAAGTACAATATTTTTGCATAGAGATTCCAAAAATAAACATACATAAAAGTTTGAAAGCTTGGTTAGGATCACAGTTAATCAGCTATGTAGCAAATAATGACAGCAAACCCAACAATCTAATACAATTGGTTTGAGAGTTTAAAGTTGTTGTCAAGTTTACAATGTACATCATCAGGAAATATTATCAAGGTATGTGTGAAATTGGTAGGCCATGCTTTTAAAATCCTGCTATGCAGATTTGTATGTTCAGCGCCATTATTTTACTCACCGTGTCTGGAATATTTCCCCACACAAGCTGAAAAGTAGCAGGAACATATCCCGCTTTATGTGCCACGTCTTCATGAAGTTTGGATATTGTGGTCGAGGCAGGCAGATTGAGAGTCAGCTTTTCAGTTACTGTCTTTGCACTGGTGGTGTCCTGAATTATGCACAGCACTCTCAGCTCATCTGCTGCATTCTGTATCTGCTACATTAAGAAGTTAAACAGTCAGACATAGACAATACATAACTGAACAATAAAATTGCATGGCAACACATCCCCACCCCAATCTTCAGACATAGGGTGCAGAAAAGGTCATTTTAATCCATTCATTACACTGAGTCTTCACTGTTAATCAAAGGTTAGCAACGGGGTAAAACAAACAAACACACCCACGAATAACTGGTAGAGGCACTGTTTCTATTCATGCATCATGACCTATGACAATAAGAATCACACTGATAACACAGGCGTCACTGGTACCTGACATCGTCTCTTCATCTTATCAAAAATCACCTGTCTGCAACTCCCAAATATCCCCTAACAATAATAATAAAAACAATATTTTACGCTTTACCAAGTATTAGTCAAAAAAACATTTGCACATGTAGCTGTATAACTGTATTCACTACTTATTTGTTGATTTAAAAAAATATTTTTGGGAAGCTAATTGAATGTATTCTAGATTAAATCAAACGGGATTAGTTCTTTAACATAAAAATAATAACAAATAACAAAATTGTAAGGGGTGGAAATCATTGAAAGACACCTAACTGTGTTAGACTGTAATTTAAGTAACTGGCTGAGTCAAAGTAAAATATTTACAACACTTTAACTAGCTTAGATAAATTGGAGATTCAGATTAGATGAGTAAAATTTATATTGAGGGATAAATTAAAAATGACAGTTTAGAGTAATGTAACGTTATGCTAACACCGATGCAGGGCTAATGCTATATGAATTCAACAACATAACCTAATTCAAAACAATTGGCACGTGGTCTTTACACACACTGTGTAAGAAGTGTAAGGTCGGTAGCAAACTAACGCAACACATCCATGTAATGCCACTGGTGACGTGCGGTAACTTTAAAGCCTAAAGGAAAGAATAGCAGCATTTCCTGAATGCCAAACGGTTGCTAACCTAGTTAGCATCATCTGACTACGCTAACGTTAGATAAGTTGGCTTACTGGCTAGCTTAGCCCCAATGTTGACAAACGTAACCTTTGTTTAGAAAAAAACATCTAATATAACGCTCCTTTCGTGATTCAAATAATTTACTTCAGTAATAAAATTAATTGCAGACACCTCAACACGAAACGTTGACAACAACGAAGAAATGTTTTCAGTAATAAAACTAGCAGCTAACTTTCGTTAGCTCATAGCCTTGTCATGATAGCCAAACATTATATGGCCTTGTTAGCTTTTAAATGTTCTTTCAGTGCACACACTTACACAGTATTCACATATGAAGCTATTTGACCGTATGTGCACACAGATTGCAATCCTGACCGTCTACAGATCTACAGGAGCTCGGGATCATCTCACCTCTTTTGGAACAAACTGGTTGTCCTCGCCAGGCACCATTTCCATTTGTGCGACAGTTTAGACAAGCATCTGTCTCTGTGCTTGTCAGCGAATTAACTTTGCAGCGAATAACGCAGACATGGCCAGTGCTGGTGGTCGCTTTAATATCAAGGTAAAGCAATGTTCTACTTTGAACTTTAGTCCAAGTGATTGTAGCCGAGTTACACTACAAGCACAAAGTGTCCTGTTAAATGGTAAAAAATGGCCGGGGTTTACTCCGCGAGATTTGGCGTCATAACCATAATGACGACTGTGCGTGATGCGTGCGTGACGAATAATAAAGAACCAAAACAAAACAAGACATTCTTCCGCACATGTCGCACTATCAAGGATCTTTATTGAGTTATTATTATTATTCTAGAGTTACACAAAAATGGCTACTTTGATTTGTACAACAGACAACCAACAACAATGAGGGCAGTCCCCAACAGGCTGTTTTCCTAATTATCGACTTTGACGTATTATTCTCTAACATCATCAAACCAAAAACCTGTTTAGCCTACTGTAACTACTGATTTACAGTAGGCTTTCAAACAAGCAAAGATGACTTTTTACTCTGGCCCATATGGGCATATATGCTCTTAGATTATCCCATGTCTATAATCCAATAAAACTTTGCTTGGCTTTAATTTTAGGGAATAATATATTCACAAATATACTTTTTCAAACTGCGGCACACTTCATCATACCACTTTCCTTGGGCAGCCACTGACAGCGCCACACAGCTCTCCCTCTTGTTCCCTGTGGGCTGCTTTTTGGTCCGATCCCAGTTGAAGTAGGTGATGGGCTGGCTGTTGACATCAATATACTGCCCTTCTTTCACTATATCTGCTACTCCAATCCAAAAATCTTTGGTTCCCGGTGCACTCTTTTTTGCATAGTCCCTCAGCTCATGGTTTTCTATCATGTCTCTTGGAGTTGCAAGGGTTCCTCCTTGTGCAATACAGTCCTCATTTGCTTCATGGTAATGTTTGGGCACTTCAACAGTGAGATAGCATTTTCTGTGAGCCTTGATCCCACGAAGACAAACTGAAAATAATACACACTTATAAATATATAATTATATATGCATAGCTATATTCTTATTCTAAAAAAATGTTTCCAGCCTCTACTCCAATAATACATTTAGAGCACAACTTAAAAGGAGGAAGCATGCAGTTTTTTTTTTTCAAACAGTACCTGTTTGTAATGCTTGCATCTCTTTAAGTGAATTCACCTCAAGCCACAATTTTTCAAGCTGAGACTTTACGTCCTCTTCATCAGCAACTGCAGCCCCATGGAAAGCACAAACAAATAATTGACCAATCCAAAATACTATAAACCGTTAGATATATAATTACCAGCTTGACGAGCTGACATTTTTCTGGTTCTAGGTGGTTGCCCAAAGTTCACATGAAGCAAGGAGAAAGAGAGGACAAGAAAGACTGGGAAGGCGAGACGTGCCATGCCTGAGTCCAGAGGTAGACACACAGTAGCACACCTTGTCCTGCAGTGAAGGGAGCCCAATATATACTAGCCCTGTGTATGCCTTTCATAACACTTCCTTTACTCTGCAGCCCCAGCTGAAATGTTGTTTATTTTTTTTATCAGGATGAGGGGCGAGAAGCAAATAATAATGTCTCTGTATTTGTATGAAATTAAAACATAATGCAAAGTGCAGTGGAGAGGCTTCACGACAATTGACATAATCAATAAATACAATAAAATAAATCTCGTGCAAGTTGCAGAGACATTTATTGAGAAAAAAAGAACACAACACAGCCCAACAAGCAATATTGACACACTCAACATGATAAATCTTTCCAATCATACACAAAAATAACATAGTTCCATGAAAGGAGGTGAAGGCTGTTCATGATCATATCCCTGTAAATGCAAAGAGTGTCTGAAATGAGATGTTCAATATTTGAACATAAGTCTCAGTCCACAGCTTTTAAAAGTTGCTTCAATTCATAGGACTCCAACCACAGCAAAAATCATATTGGAAAATCTCACTTTAATATTGCTTGTATGGCTTTTATGAGGGTTTTATAAAGTAGATGTATTTTTTTCACAAAGCTACTTTTTGACAGACTGTTCTTTAAATGAAACTTGAGATAATGAATCGTCTCTTTCAGTTCAACTTCTTTTTAATAAATCATTTACTCAAATGTCATTTTTTCTCTCACTCTCATTTGCTGCTGCTCTCCTACATCTCCTACCTGTCACCTGAGAAGGCGACCGGTAGGAGATAGCAGCAGGACGGTTAACTATGTAAAAAGGATACTCTCTCACTCTAAAAGATGATTTTATTTAGATTACAATTCTTCAAGTATGATATTCCAGTCCACTATTTTTAAGATAGAACAGTGCAAAATAATCTATATGTCTAGGCTTTTTACTATCTTGTGGTTTCTGTCATAACAGTAAAAATAATATGTTCTTACATCATTCAAGTATTCATATGGAATGCAGTTTAAAGGCACTGAAACTTCTATTTAGATTTCCATGTATGTTTAACCGGACCTTAGATCATTGTTTCTCAAATTGTGGCATATTTACCTACCGCCCAGTTTTTTTCTTAGGTGGTTCTTTGTGTGAAATTTCAGGTTTGCTAGCTGTAGCAGGATTATGTCATTTGAAACAATGAAGCTGAACTATGCAAAAAAAAAATCTGATTTTTTCTAGAATCTATAATTGCATCTAAAGCAGGCAATTGACTGGCACTTAAGCTTTCTTTACTTCTTTCTAATATAATTCCTTGTGTAACCAAGCACACATTAAGATCAAAATAACCGCGTAATAAATGTGCCTGTGCACGCATGCATACATAGCCACATTGAACCTAAACTGACCATGACTTGTATTCTTCACTAATGGATAAAAGGCATTCGTTCCTTAATGTCATTGTCTCCGTCTGTCTCCTCTTCTTCGTCTCCTGCTTCACTTGTCTCTGTGCTGTCACTGGCCATCTTATAATATACAAAAACAAACATTAGAACACACACCTGCATGCCAAGTTTACACACACACATAAACACAAAAAGTACCATGCTCATACCAAAGGTGTAGGAGGTTTATCCATATCCAGAACAAGTTTCCCTATATTTCCCCTGTCATGGATTCTTTGCATAGCCTCTTTCACCTGTGACAATTAAACAGATTCCTCAGCATACAGCATTGTTCAAGTTAGCTGATGCAAGAAATAGGCCACACATTGTTCCATGCAAATCCAAACAGTTACCAAATTGTATAAGATAAGATATATACTTCTTAACTAATTTCCCTATTTTGTTTATGTCATTATTATCAGAAAATTACTTTTATTTAGACAGGGAATAGGGAAGGCCACAGCTTTTTCATGGAGAATGCTTCTTCTGAATGGTCAAAGCAGTGTGCCAATATTTCAAGCGAACATTCATACTGATGTGCACACTGCAATATATTCAGCCATGGCCCATTACATGTTTGAAACGGCATATTCTAATTTTGTTGAATTAAAATAGAACAAATCCAAAAATTACAAAGGGATGGTATAATATTTTACATGTTCTGAGTGAGATCTTACCTCCTCCAGCGCCCAAAGAGAGTCCACCACTGGCTTTATCTTCTTTTCATTGTAAAGACGCAACAATTTTTCCATCACTGACTTCACTAAAGAACATTTCCTCTGCTTGAAGAGCAGATTAGGCAGTGAGAATCCTGCTATGACTTTGTTCTCTTCAAAAAGTTTAATAGGGTTCACTTTTTCCACTTGCCACCACTGAAAAATAAGGTAAAATACGTATAAAACTCAATGCATAGCCTTGCCATCTCATAAGATCTTATATTAGATTTAAAAGGACTACAATCGGTTCATCTTTTATGTCTTTATGGAACTGACGTGAGCAAGAGCCTCAATGAAAGTCGTCTCAATTTTTACAACAATAACACATTTGATGAGGTGTAAGGGTTATACTCTCAAATTCAAGCACTAAAGGGTTAACATTGGCATAATTAGTGTATATTAAGATTAGAGAAAGGACACTAGGAAGGAGGAACCCAAACCCTAACACAACACAATATAAATAGTTGTAAGAATTACGAATAAAATATGAGAACCATTCCCACGGTGGGGAAATTTCAAATGTTTAGCTTATAACCTTCCACTATGGAACATTATAGTGTAAATGAATGAAAAATACATCTACATTATTATAACCATAAAATGAAAAGTGTGGCTTGTAAAAGTATTAAGATAAGACAAACTTTATTGATTTCACAATGGAGAAATGTACTGCCTCCATTAGTTAATACTTTTGTTGAAACCCATTTTACTATCACTAGACATATGGCTATCACTTTGCATGGGTCTTTGAAGAAAATAAAATAAGAAAATATGATATTAACAATGTTTGTGGTCCTGATGTGAAAAATGTGCAAAAGTTGCTGTATAAGTAAAACCAACGGTCACAGTGTATTACATAATGGCCCACTCTGACTCACAGATTTTGCAAAGCTGAAGAAACTCTTTGTCTCCCCAGTTACCATGTTTGATGCGCCTGAAAAAACAAAAATAATATGATTAGTGTTGTGCAGGAATAGTTGCATCTTCTTAGTTTGCGTGGCCTTTTTTACTGTATGCAACTTCAGCTACACACTCATTCATAATGGGACATTATTAATGTAAAATAAAAATAAAACAATCATACTTAACATGACACGTGCACACCCAAGCACTGTTTTCCCTGACCTATACTTTATTTGTAATGTCACATGTGTTAATGTTATAAATACCTCAACTAAAGGAAATAAAGACTTTAATCTTACCATATAAGATGTATGTACCCAATGGCTTTAATATATTTAGACTTTTTCCTGTGTTTTCTCCGGACAGGCAATCCAACACAATGTCCACTCCCTCAGGAGAAATCCTGAAACATGTGCATCAAAATAAGGTAAATCATTCAGGGAACACACAATCTAATCTACAGTATACGCAGGAGTACACAAATAAAGCATACAATAAAGCAAGCCTCAGTTTAGAATAGTATTTTAAATATAACTCCAAGTTATAATCTTGATAAAATAGACAATTAAAATATTTAATATCAATAGCGACCATCATATATATATATATATAATTTGTTTGGTTGGTTCACAGTCACTACAGACCTCATCCTCCAGATGAGCTGTGAGTTGCCATGGGGACTGTGACCACACAGGTCCAAATAAGGGAAAGGCAACATCTGCATCCTGCTATCTCAATGCTCAAAGAGCGCCACGTCAGCGCCACATCAGTTACGGATCACAATTACTCTTGCACAGACAATATCAAAAGTCCCCTTCGTTTAGATATTCATGCTTACATTTTGACCTCGTGTAAATAATCTGCACTCCTGTCAAAGAGGTGAGTCACAGAGTTTTTGATGGATGGATGTTTGAAACATGATGCTATCCCAAAAACTGACACATTGGGAACAGTGGAGCACAGCTGAGCCACAGCTTGACCCTAGAAGAAACCAAGACCAAAATGTTGGGATTCATCAGTGTTTTTTCTGCAGCACATACAATAAAACAATTTGAACTAAAAAACAAACCCATTACTTACTACACTCCCTCCAGCTGAATGCACCAGTACCGACATCCCCTCTCGTAAATTGGCCACTTCAAAAAGCATCATGTATGCAGCGACGTAGTTCAGGGAGAATGCAGCAGCTTCAGCAAAACTCATGTCATCAGGCATTTTGTAAACAAAGTCGACTGATGTGCACACAACCTCTGCCCATGCATTGTAGTTCACAAATGCCATTACTCTGTCACCAATCTGTAAAATATAATTACAGCAATACAAAGAAAGGTTAATAATAGAAAGGTAATTGTAAGGTTTACACCTAACCTGCTTTTTGATCATCTTACTGACCCCAAATCCGTCTGTGTTTTCACCCATGGACTCTATTATTCCACAACACTCAAAGCCAGGTACCACAGGAGGCCTTGGAGGGCTGTCAATTGTTCCTTGACGCACCATGAGATCCAAGAAATTTAACCCACTTCCACAAACAAAACAAACAGACAAATAAAATGTAATAGGCAGATAGATGCACACATACATGATTCCAAACATAAATATTCCTATACAGGAAAAGTAAATATATTTGTAATATATAGCTTATATGTGGGTTTTAATGTGGTTATAAAGGCCAAATGACAACAATTTCTTTTTTTCCTGACCAGACAATCTGAAACATAATCTAAGGTTTTGGGTTATTTGGGGGTTTTTTAACACAGGGAACAAAACGGCGTAATTAAATGTACATGATTGCAGCTTCTCAGACCTGTTGCTTCATGGCTCCATAGTCCCAAATGCGCTCGTTTAAAGGGGGCGTTTTGTAGGCATGCGGGATAAAGGCATCATTCTACCACGCAAAACAAGAAATGTACTTATATTCACCATGCTTTCACGCGTATCTTCACTTCTCCATCCGCTAGTTCGGGTATCGCTTTGTTAGTAACCCTGAGTTTGTTGAGACCACCAAAGCCTGACAATATCACGACGCGCATCTCTTTGCCATCACAAGACGCCTCCACGTGTTCATCTTTGCTGATCTGTTTATCTATCATATGTCGAGTTTCCTCTGACATCTCAGAGTCAGATCCTTCTTTAGCCATGATGCAGACTTGTGCAGCGCCCACTTCAATACTATGCAATAGATGCTACAAGTCCTAGAGAGCCCACTGGGATTCACGCACGACAACGCGCCCAAATTCATTCAATTATAAATAATAGAAAAAAACGTTACATACCAATTTCTTAATACACTTTAGGGCAGTTGTCGAAATAGTTTGTTATTTAAAATGTATAAACTAAAGAGTGCACCAGCTATAACCGTATATGACGCATACGCGATAAAGCGGTTGATGATGACACAGCTGATGATATATGCAGCTGACCCCCTGTGGCGTTTCTGGTCTTAGTATATATATCATCCACATCAGACTTCAGGACCCAGGGCAGTAAGGACACAGAACGATGTCCATTTTTTTATTCAAGATTTCTGCCTGAATTTCAATGCAGCATATGGGCCCCTGTTGGGAGAGGTTTAACCAGACCACCCAGAACCACAGATTTTACAATAATTATGGAATTGTATCCAAATACTTGAATGTATGTCAAAATGTAGAAAGGTTTCTTCTCAGAAAAGTAAAAAACAAAAATTAATTAATAAGAATGGCTGTGGTACCAACGCGCACTGCCATCTTCTGGACAATATAGATATAACCAGAAATCCCACTTCAAGTTTACCAATTACAAATTAAAACTTTAAAAGCACGGACCATTGTGAAGAGGCGCAGTTCCATCTCTTTAAAAAATATCTTAAATCCAGAGTGATCCTTCAAAAACTTGTGCATAATTTGTTCTTTTCTAGAACAATATTTAAAATCCACCCATAACCTTAATAACCTTGGTTAGTTAGATTGCTAACTAATAAACCAATAAAAACATTAGGGTGGCTTAAAAAACAAAAGCCATGATTAACCAAATAAGATCAATCAAACAATGTAAAACATAGTAATTTAGTCATTTTAATTCATTTATAAACATGTAAAGTCTTGTACATTCTGATAAGCAAACAAAGTTATAATGTCCATCGTTCATTTCCATCTTTAACTCTTTGGGACGTCAGTAAATATTCTAAGACCATGCATCCCTTGGATCTCCTCTTTAAGAGCCTATAAAAAAACAGAAAATAGACCATTCATAAACTATTATTAAACAATATTTACATTTGTTTGAGCAGAACACACAATTCCGAGTTGTTTTGACAATAATCTCCTCTGGATTACTGATACTTGATAATTTAATCCTCAGGTAAAAATGACCCGCCACAGGGATGAATAAATATCCTAATTTAGGGTCTAAAAGTAAATTACCCAGAACTGGTCAAGTTAAGAAAAGTTTTTTTTTGTATCACTGAGGCGGGTCAATTTTACCCGAGGATAGCACAAGGGTTAAACAACATTATTATTTTTCTAAGAAGGAAATGGATTGGACTACTTTCAGATAAAAAAAACTAGACTGATATTTAATCTACTGTAATCTTGGTTTTGTTTATTTTGTCATTAATTTTCTTTACGTATCCAAGTCCAGACTAAATCTCCTTCATTTATATTATTGAAAGAAGTGTAGTTGCGAGCACAATTATTGCTTAGGATGTTTCTATTTTACCTGGTTGACTAATTGATGTTGTTGAACAGTTCTTTTTCCTTTGAATTCACTGGATTCGATATGAATCTCAAACATTGCTCCACATCCACCTGGAAGATAATAAAATTTCACTTAAACACATATACATATCAAAAATTTGCGTATTTTTGTTTGATCATGATACAAAAAATGCCATCAATAAATGCAAAAACAGGAGGTTATGTTCAGCAGGATCCCATGCAAGCCTAATCTGTCTACCTGATATATCCACAACTTTGAGCGAAGAGGCTAAAGGAAACTTCTCTTTTAATATCTGTACAATCCGCACTTCCCCGTCTGTTTGCGAGGACAGACATCGGAGTGTTTGACCAGAAAACACAACCTGTCGAGAAAGAGAAAGATGGGACAAGTCAGTAACCCGGTGTCACACATCTGTCATAACAGCTAACAGCTAGCTTAGTTAGCTTAGCTGTGAACAAGGTCGAAAACATTGCAGAGTTCATTACTTTTCTACTGAAGAAACGATGCGCTGAAATGACTGTGTTCCCCAAGGCCCATCTACATGCAAGCATCGTTCTGGCTTTTAAGTGCAATGTAAGAATGTAATAGTTTTAGCTAGGGTTAGCATAGATCATGGTAATTGTGATGCAGGCGCATGCGAAATCTTCAAGATAGTATAGGGGCGGGGCTTGGTGATATGACGTCAAACATCCGGGCACTAAGGTGATGGTGTTGTTAATAATAATAATAATACATTTTGGTATATGTAACAATGCAGTACTAAATGTATTATTACTATTATCATCATTAAGATTAATATTATAATTGTTATTATTATACTTTGTACTTATTCATTCATTCACTGAACACACGCCACAAAATGCCAGAATTTACAGTTTACAGTTTTTCTATTTTACTAAATTTTTTGACAGTAATAGCAACCACAAACAGAACCCTACTGCTAAATCACACTGACTAATGCTGTGCTAGATATGTGACATTTGGTATGAAAACTCGCTTGAATGAGAGGGGCTTATCTCTTTGTACAGGTTGTCTGGCTTTACTGTAGAGCAGGCTATTGTTTGTTCCCCCTTTCACTGCATATCCAAGCTTTGTTTGTACATAGGAGTGATGTCTCCAGCACAAAGGAAGCATCAATCAAGACTGCCATCCAAATATAGTAGCCTAATGGTAAATGGTTAATTGGTGCCAGAGGCTGATGTCACTGCTTTTTAAGACCAACATCCTCCTCAGTATTGTCAGTGCGCCTGTAGACATGGACAGACCCTTCATTCCCATTTTTGTTCTTTTTGCCTTTCTTTCCCTCAGATGTTATGCTGAGGAGCTTCTGGATAGTCTTCCATGTCCAGATAATCAGGAGAGCTTTGATGGCTCTTGTTTTGAGTTTGTCGTCCAAGAGCATCCCTTCCTCAATGCACAGTCCTGGTGTGAGCGTGGAGGTGGACACCTCACATTTATTCTCAATGATGAAACGCAACAGTTTCTCCAGAAGCATCTGCACCCTGAAAAGGACTGGTGGCTTGGATTGGCACCAGCAGCTCCGAACTTTACTCTAGACATAAACGGTGAGAATATTGTGTACAAATTATGTATTTGTTTTTTCCTGCTCAATTATATATGTAGCATTATCAGCCTACATATTTTACTGATATTCATTTAAGAATTGTTTGTTTGCGTTTACAATGTGTTTAATGTAAGTGTACAATCAGAAAGCAAAATCAGCAAATATATAGTGACAAAAACAAATTTGCAATACAACAAAGTTCTTCTGTGAATGCAAGGGTATTGAGACTGGAATTCACTGTTGTATATTCCATCCAAAACATAATTACTTTAAAATAGATGAAAGAATTCCTTAAAGTAGGGTAAGTTAGTCACCCTACTAATTGCTTGCTCGTTTTCTTGTCTCAGAACCTGAAACTCCTGGTCCAAATACACATTGACATGGATTATAAAAAGTCTTGTTTGCAAACTGTCCCTATTCTTTTACCAGGTATTACCAGTATGACTGATTAAATTAAATGATTCTCTATTACAGGCTCCCTTTCTTGGCTGGATGGCTCGGATGTCAGCTACAATAACTGGGTGAACACACCAACGCCAGCAGCAACATGCGGATACATACAGAAGAATTCAGGATTTCAATGGGAAGCTACAGGCAATTGTACCCAAGAATTTAATTTCATATGCCAGTTTGGTATGTCTACTTAAATTCATAAAATACTATTCACCATATACATACTAATAGTGTTAATATGAAAAAAAATATTTTTTCCTGTGTACAACATTTTCTGCATAGATTCAGGAAGATCTATTGCTTGTGAAGGCCAAAATGCAACAATACAATGTGGCTCTGGTCAAGTAGTAGGAATAGACGACAGTTTCTTTGGCCGGAAGACGATACATTACTGCAAATCTCACCTTGCAACCTCAACAACAGCTTCCCAGGAAGAATGCAGCTGGATCGATGTTGTGGAGTCTGTAAATGGTTAGAAACACACCAATATATTTTGTGTGTGCCATTTGGATTCCAATACATTGTTTTCATTAACAAGGAACAAAGGAACCATTAAATGTACTGTATATCACTAATCTGCTTCCACTCCCTCAAAAGTTAAGATTTGTGTACTGTACATCCTCCAATTTGTGGTTTGGTGCAATAGGTTTATGAGGATGAAATAGCTGTGTGTTTGTTTTTGTTAATCATATGCAAACAAAATCAACATGTATCTTTTCTTCCAGGCAAATGCAAAGGACAGCAGTCCTGCCAGGTGGATGTGAGTGCCTTTGGGGAGCCATGTCCAGCATTTGGAAGTTACTTGTCTGTGGAATACCACTGCAAACATGGTCTGTGGTATTCAAGGCGATCAAGGCAATTGAGTCTAAACATGTAATATTATTACATAAGATGTCTTTTCTGCCCAGGTCTTTCCCTAATATTGAGTAAGCTGGCAGCTGTGTTTGATAACGTCACCATTACAGTGAAATGGCTTTTGCATCCATTTGAGGGAAATCTCACATGTACAGTCAATGCTGGAGATGGTCATACAATTGACCCATACAGCCCTGAGGAGTGTGTATCATATAGCTATATATATACAATGCTCATGAACTTAGAACCAAATGTATTTGTTTCTGTTTTCAGGATGGAGAGCACAGTAATTCACAAGTTTACTAGACCTGGATTTTTCACAGTTGATGTTGAATGCAGCACTAGTGACTGGCGTGTAACAGCACAGAAAGCAATAACCATTCAGGAGCCACTGGCAAAGTTTGAGGCTGTGAAATGCTTTAGTCAAAACATATCTATTGATGATGGTAAATGCAATGTGACCTATGACAAGCCTTTATTAATTCAAGTTGTTCTTAAATCAGGTATGTTATTGTGGTATTAATGGTGGTGGTTTGACTGGTGATCAAATGTTCATAATTGTCTTTCTTCCTTAAGGAACAAATGTTACCTATAAGATTGAGCACAATGCTCACATGGTTGTGAATTCTTCTGTGGACAGTGGCAGCACACCTCACAATATAACACTAGACATCAATGCACTTGAACAGCTTGGACAGGGCTGTCACAACCTGACTATATCAGCATCCAATAAGATTACAGCTACACCTGAATCCACAAAGCTAGAGTTGTGTTTGCTTCAGCCCATCAAGGGGTTGCAGGCTTCTGTGGAGGCCGAGGAAGGCCTATGTCCGGACTCCTCCGATCTCATTATCAATGTGTCGCTGGAGCAAGGTGCCCCAGTGCAGCTCCAGTTCACTCTGACAGGAGTTGAAGACAGCATCTCTGAAACCAGAGACATGCTCAATGGAAGCACACAGACATTTGTCTTCTCCTCTCCAGTGGAAGGTACACTAGTGCTATAAGCTGTAGTAAGTAAAGACCTAGTATTTACAGATTGTATTCTTGTGTTAAAGGAGCTCTACAAGTTAAAGTAGTGGCCAGGAATGATATCTCTACCGTCAATACTGATGTGGATCTTGACAAGATACTCCTATTATGTCATAATTACACAGGCCAGCAAGAAGATACAGTGTGTTCTGGAGATATTCAACAGCATGTTATTAACCTCAGTTTTAACAATGCAACATTAATTTGTTGTGTTTGTGTACTTAGCAGATGGAAGATGATTTGACTGGTTTCAAAATGAATGCTTCTCCTTCTGCACTCGTTGACGATAGCCAGAGTGCTCGCTTGAGAGTTGACGCCTCTACCCTACCCAGCAAAGGAATCAAGTTTAATTGGAAATGCAGTACATATTGTTTTAAAATTCTACAAATGATTTGGGCACTATTTCAATTAATGTGACGTTTGTACACATACTGATATTTTGTATTTGAACACAGAAGGATCTTGCAAATGTACAATTGAGACAGACCAAGAATCTTACACAATTGAAAAAGAGTGTCTTCCAAATCCTTTTGAATTTGCGAGATACACGTTGATTGCAAAGAAGACAAGTTGGTTTAGAAGTGCAGTTAAAGTTGCTGCAGCTTCCAAGTGCATCACCGTTTCCCCAATTGAATTCAAAAATATATCAATCAGGTAATACATCTTTGAAATTCAAAAGTCAAACACCATATAATGTATCATTAAGATTATTATCTGTATTATTTTTATTTGTAGATGTGATGATTGCGTTTCAGTAAATGTTATTAGTCCTGTTACTCTGAAACTACACTGTGAAGGAAAATGCCCTGATGTAGTCTGGTTTATGGAGGACCTCAAACCATTGGCTGTAAGTTTTTCACCCTAAAACATACACAGTTACAAAAGTTTATTTTCTTACTTTAATTTCCAGGGAAAACTTGAAAACTGTTACTCCAAAGTAAGCAGAAGACCTCCCATTGAGAAGCAGGATGGACAAACTGAATACATTGTCAGCAGTCAACATTTGATCATGTCTAGAGATACTATGCAAAATATTGTTGTGATTGCCTATGGTGGGTTCTTTACAAAGAAAAATATCTAAATATGTTGCTTGATTGTTTATTTATTATGTTTTAAAATATATTTGATGCAGGAAAAACAGAGGCTGGATTTGCAAAGTTTACTTTACCAATACCGGACCCATCACCATCCCCCTCACCACCTGCAACCACTCGGCCCGCTGCTGACACCATTTCATGTAGCATCACTCCGTCTGCTGGGACAGTGCTCGATGCTTTTAACATTATGTGCAAAACAAGTCTGTCATGCTCCTCAGGCTGCCTTTACTGCATCAAAACAGACATGGGTGATTATAAAACATTCAGAGATCAGTTTAAAGATGCAATTGGCTGTTTAGATACCCAAAAGGAATGATAATGAGTCTTAATTTGGATATATTGTTCCTGTAGGCAAACACCTTAGATGCAGTGATGCAGTGGAAATGAAGACAGTCTTCCTGCCACTAGGAGACATGAACAACAACTTCAGCTTGTCTTTAATGGTGACTGTAAAAACTGAAAACAAGAAAATATCCACCAAGATAAGCACGCAGGTCTGTTTGTGCAATTGTTTTATGCTTCAGACATTTTTCAAATGGTGATTCTCTCTAAAGGTGAGGCATGGTGACACAGACAGCTCAGTGGGTGCACTTCAGTCTGCAGTGCATGACACTGTGGAGCAGTTGGAGCAGCAGGGCCTTCTGTCCGGAGAAGCTCTAGGACAGATATTCACATCGGTCGCAGACCTGCTCAACACAGAGTCCAATGAGGAACAGAAAGATTCGAGAACAAAGGTATGAAATGTACAATACAATTAATTCGAAGATTGGCAGATTGTTTTTCAAACATGTGTATTGGCATTTTGGGCGGCATGGTGGCACAGCAGTTAGAGCTTGTGTTTCACGGCAATAAGGTCTGGGTTCGATTCCACCTCCTGGCCTTTCTCTGTGGGGTTTGCATGTTCTCCCTGTGTCCCCGTAGGTTTCCTCCGGCTGCTCCGGTTTCCCTTACCACTAAGAACAAAAGGAATTAATATAATGAGTGAGTGAATGGATGGTGTTGGTCGGGTGTTTTGATGCACCAGTGTGCTCGGCGTCCCACTTCCGTCGTCACCGTGTGGAGAGAATGGAAAAATATCTCAACTCTGAACGTTGTAAAGCGTTTTGGGTGACCTTGTCTATAAAATGTGCTATATAAATAAACATTGCCTACCATTGTTTTATAGTTAAGAGAACAAATGCTGACCAAAATGACCAAAGTCGTGGCTGAGTCCCGCAGTAATACCACACATGGGATCCAGGCGACGGCCGCAGCTGTAGCTGGACTCACGCAACAGTCAGATGAGCTCACACCCACTGCGCAGGTACTGGACCTCCTGAAGCTTGAGAATGAAAGGAAATCATGCAGTCACCATTTCATACAAAGTTCATCAATTGTCCATGCAGGAAGAAGCTGGTTCATTGTTGGCAGACCTCAGTGCCTCTCTGAACACCATCAGTGTCTATCAAAATACTTCAGAAGAAGATAAAGAAGTAGCTCAAGCAGCTGCACCAATTGTAGAAGCAGCCAGTAACATTTTGAACATTTCATCTAATGTGAGGTTCAAACCAAAACGATGGCCACGCTGAGATATTAGCTATAATAGTAGTCGTATTGTTTAACTTTTTTATTTTATTTTTTCTTCAGAAAAAAGTGTCTGAGTTTCTACTTACTGGAATGAACAATATTCAAAGTGCTTTACTTATGAACAAAAGACTGGATGGAGAACCTTCCATTATAGATTCTGGTCAGATCAGTGTGTACGTCAACAGGTATGGAGTCACAGCATGAGTTCTGAAAACATCAGGTAATAACTACAATGTGATTGATTTTGAATGAAGGATAACCCCAATGACTATTCAGATGAAGGATATTGATCTACAGAAGAATACATCCTCTAGATTTAATTTCCCTGCCCTCCCTGCATCGATTGTCTCACCTGACGAACCAGTGGATATCAGGGTATGTACAAAGCATGTCTACAATCAATCATTAGATCATGTAGTTCAACAAATACATTCACAATTAACAGATGATGAGTTTCACAAAGAATCCATACTCTTGGAAAGAGGAAAACATCACTGGGACAGTAGGATCAGTCGCTCTTACCAGAACAGATGGCAGTGTCATTGCTGTTCAAAATTTACCAGAAGAGATTGAGGTAAAGTGTTGGCAAAGTACAAACACTATTTTAATGTGTCTCAAAATTATGTGTTATTTCTTTTTATTTATTTTCTAGATTTTTCTTCCCAGGCTTGACGCAGGACAGGAAAACAGCACAGAGCTAGACTTGGCCAATTTCAGTACATTAATAATAAACATTCCCTCCCCAGATGTAACACTCGTGCTGAGAATGAAGCCGTCAGAAGACATTTCTTTTGTAGCATTTCTGGGATACAATGTTTATCCAACTCATGAAAAATATGTCGCTAAGGCACAACTTCCTATAGAGGGGGCAAAAGAAGGTATCACAATTGTACATTTGAGTTTGAATGTAATTTATCACGCTATTGTTGGTCATTTATCCTTCTTACTTTTAAAAGAAGAGAGGTTTACCTGGGTGGTGGAGCCAAATGTTCGGGCCGGAGATGTCGGCGTGCACTATCTTGTTATAAAGCCAATCGTAGAACCTGGCATCAAATCAGTCAACGCTACTGTCAATGTTGTCACTATTGCTGCTCAGTGTAAGTACTGGAATGTAACGGAGTCCTTATGGAGTGAAGATGGCTGCAGGGTAAGCCGCACTTTCTCAATAAGTTCTTTTTATGATGTATGAATCCATAATATCAATGTTTGTCTATCCTCAGGTTGGCCCGCTCACCACACATGCTGTGACCCACTGCCTGTGTAATCACTTGACATTTTTCGGAAGCTCATTTTTCGTCATGCCAAACTTGGTGGATGTGTCGCGGACGGCAGAACTTTTTGCCACTTTTACTACCAATCCAGTCGTGGTTTGTTTTGTTGGAGCCATCTTTGTTGCTTATCTCATAGTTGTGATATGGGCACGGAGGAAAGACATCCAAGATTCAGCTAAAGTCAGCCGAATAAACTGGAACATGTGTTTTATTCTATATTACAAAATTCAGCTGCGTTTATCTTTCGTTTAAGGTCAAGATAACTTTACTAGAAGACAATGATCCTCTGGCAGAATATCGCTATATGATAAATGTCAGCACTGGACATCGGCACGGTGCATCGACTTCCTCTCAAGTAGGTGACACTGCACGGTGTAGTTCTCAGCTGGCTGATGGGGTGGGACGCAAATGTGGGTCGTGGAAAATTGTTTTTAAGAAATATGTAACTACAACACTGTAAAAAAAAAAGTAATCTAGAAAGAAGTGAGACGTTCATGGGGGGAAATAATCCTGTAATTTAGAAGTAAATTAAATTGTTATCTGAAATTGTTTATAATACCCATTTTTATACTTGAGATTCACATTTGATTTGAAATCCAATGAAAATATTAATTTAAATGTAAAATGTGTTTACTTGTTTGATCTTTTCTGTTTACGTATTCAATCTTTTCCCTTGGTTCTGGAGTCTGTAAGGGTAAATGTGTTCATATGTGTTGCTTTGTTGTTCAATGCTTGTATATCAATACTTTGTGCGATCCAAAAGTGAATGAATATTTTTTTAGTTGATGTTTTGTTCACCGGTCCACATGCCTTTAGGTGACCATCACATTGCAGGGGACAGAGGGAGAGAGCGACCCCCACCATCTGACCGATGCAGACAAACCTGTATTTGAAAGAGGGGGAGTGGATATGTTTCTGCTAACCACTCATTTTTCTTTGGGAGACCTGCAGAGCATAAGACTCTGGCATGACAACTCAGGAGACTATCCAGAATGGTATCTGTTTCAAAAAGATCTTGTGGAGTGGCATGTATACAATAGACTTTGATGATCAGTGTCAGGGTTTTCTTTCAGGTATGTCAACAAAGTAATGGTGCAGGACGTGGAAACCGGTCAGAAGTGGCACTTTTTGTGTAACTCCTGGTTGGCTATCAATGTGGGAGAGTGCGCGCTGGATAAAATTTTCCCTGTAGCAACGGAAATGGAATTGAAGAGATTTAGGTAATACTTATAACCAGAGGTGGCTGGAAGTTATTTATTTCTGATGGAATTTATTTTTTATCTCGTTCACTTTTTTACTTTTACTATGTGTACTTTCTACTTTTCGTTTCGTGGTCGTTTTACAATGACTTGCCACTTTGCAACACACATAAAAACAGGTTTGAAGTGGTTCAAGCCTATAAGTGAGTCAACAGCACTTCTCAGATTACCTTTTGGCCTAAGTTCTACAACATATTTTGTTTAGTGTCATGGTCTCTGTCAGTATGAAGGTTCAGTATGAAACTGTAGTAATGTATAGTGTTTCAACCGCAATCCTTGAAATGTCCTTAATGAATACATTGCCCATCAATTATTCAACAAAAATCCATTATACTTACATACAAAAGCTATATGTTTATACTTTTACTCAAGTAAGAATACTAGTTTCTATACCAAACTATATTAATCATGGTTTTAGAAAATGTCTGTTCAGGCTGCTCCTTACATCTAAAACCTTTAGACGTATTATCAGAGGAGGCATTAGTACAAGTCTTAAGTATTTATTTCACTGAAAGAAATAAAATATACACTGTTTTTTTTTCCCCTTTGATTTCTTCTTTCTAGCAATCTGTTCTTCATGAAGACTGCCAAAGATTTCCGTGATGGCCACATTTGGTTTTCAGTCATCAGCTGTCCTCCCAGCAGCACATTTACTCGAGTACAGCGGGTCTCCTGCTGCTTCTCTTTGCTGCTGTGCACCATGCTCACAAGTATAATGTTCTGGGGTATTCCCACAGACCCCTCTGAACAGACAATGGACCTGGGTAAATTATTTAATTGTTATTTTGAAACCAAAAAAGGGATGCTCAATCACAACAGTAAAGCTATTGTAAAAGTATAATGTAGAGAACAAAGCAGATCATAACATGCTGTCTTTATTAAATATGGAAAATTACGAAATTGATATGAAAACTGTTTTGAGACTTCATATACACACACACATTTATAATGTGGTTAAATTATTTAAGACAGACTAAACTTGTGTGATTTTTTGTGGTTACCCCAGTTATAGAGTAAGGTACTGTATATACCATTTTTAAGCTCCATTTAAAAAGGAAAATTGTGTCCTTGTGCAACTCAAATAATGAATCTGAATTGCAAGTATAACAGACATAGCTAGATACTGAGCGATTTTGTAATTTTGAGTTGTTATTCCTCCCACCCTCGCTCCATGACAGCACTCTGCAGGTTCTGAGGTTTCACATGAGACTTGGCCTGTCCTTATCGTGAACTGCATGAGTAAAACTTGTTTAGGCCTAATCCCAATCAATTGTAGCTTATTTTCTAATCAGTAAAAATGCAGAAAATACTATCTTTAAACAATATAATGACTGTGCATTGAAGTGAATAAGAGCTGTTATTATATATGTTCAATGTTGTTTTTGCAGGACACATCGAGTTCACATGGCAGCAAGTGATGATTGGGATTCAAAGTTCAATCATTATGTTTCCCATAAATCTGCTCATTGTGAGTATTTTCAGAAACACTCGTCCTCGAGAAAAAAGAAAAACAGAACCGTCCAAACAGGGGAAGATTGGTAAAGTATCCCCCTCTCAGAGCTCCCCTCAGAAGGAGCTGAAGGACATCACACCTGACACTGTGATCAAGGTTAGAAAATTCAACATTATTTGAGGAAAGAAAGAAGAAAAATATGATTTTAATTTGCATTTTTTCGTAGGACATAAAACGAATTGCGCAGTCCTTATCAAAGGCCATAAAAAGCCCATTTCCTCATTTGGACCTCAAACCTGGGGAACAGTGTGATATCAACACATTATTGTCCTTGGTCGAGGACATAATCAAGCAACACAATAAACCCACTGAAGATTTCTTTAACGACACTGCCAAAAAGGAGCGCCCTATGATCCTTTCTCTGGGGTCCGTCAGTTTGCACGGTGAGGTTACCATTCAGACAGGTACCAGTCTCATTCTTATTGTTCCAAGTAGTCCAGGCTAAAGAATGTTTTGTGATGACAGAATTGTATAGTATTTGTCCACTCTAGATGATTTCTACGAGCTGTCCAGAATAGCATTCCTAATGTCCAAGAAATCTTGTTTGGGCAAATAGTTTTCCCCTTAACTCCCATAACAATGATACAGTTTCCTTGTATCATATTAAGTCAATGAGCCCAAAATGTGGAATAATATTAATCGGAAATATTTGCTTTTCATTCCAGTGGGTTAGGCGTCAGGGTAAAAGAATAAGTTGAAACCTATTTGCACAACTAGGACTTCTTAGTGCCTTTAGTTTGTTGTTTCAGACACCTCTTAGAAATTCATGGTTAAATTTGTTTATGATGTATCCAGTCGAATGGCAGACAAAAACAGCTGATCAAGTCTGCCAACATGTCTGATCAAGTTTTCCAACAGGATCCAGTATGTGGGAAGAGTCAGATAAATCTTCCAGTAGCGTCCAAAAGAGCAGCGCCACCTACAGCCGGTATCTGTACAAGCAGCTGTGCCATGTTGAACAGGAGCTGGGTTTGTTGGGACCATCTCGTTTTCCCAATTCTATCAACTACAACCGTGCAATGCAGCAAGTCCATGGCATGAAGTCTCTGCTGGAGTACCATCTCCCTCTGGCTGGTCCGGACGGGGAGCAGCTGAACCGGAGCGCGAGTCCTGAAGACAGCACCAGCGGAGAGTCCCAGCGGAGAAGCGGGCTGCCCTGGTGGTTTGTCTTTGTGGGTTGGACACTGGTGATTGCGACTAGTTGTGTCTCGGGATACTTCACCATGATGTATGGGCTGACCTATGGGAAAGATCGCTCAATAAGCTGGCTCATCTCAATGCTCGTCTCCTTTTTTGAAAGTTTATTCATTACACAACCTTTGAAAGTAAGAACAAAACAAACAACAATAAGCGTGATTCATACAGCTGAAAGTGTTACTCTTTTGCAGGTGCTCGGGTTTGCAGCTTTCTTTGCCCTTGTTCTGAAGAAGGTTGATCAAGAAGAATATGGAGAACCTCAAGTGGATGGACTTATCATGAAATCTAGTATGATTGCACAAATGAAAGCTGGAGTAACCAATTAACAGAAAGTTTTGTTTAAGTAGCATTTTGTGAACAAGTCATACCACAACATGCAGCTGTCTTTATCTTATGAGAAAACATTTGATCTTTTACATACTGAGACTGACAGTGGCTCAGTTGGTAGAGCATTGGCCCTTGGGTACTAAAGGTCGTGGGTTAGAGCCCATTGTGTCCTTGGGCCGGACACTTAATCCCACTTCACCTGAAGCCCCCGCTGAAAGCTCAAGGCAGCTCAGACTGCGCACCTGCAGGAGGATCAGTGCGGGGCTGGAGCCATGTGTTCTGGATGCAGCTCTGACTGCCACCCCCAACCCAGAAATGGATTAAGGGGAAGAATATTGATGGGTGGATGGAGACACTGAGAGCTGAGTGATGGCTGGTCCTCTCTTTTTCACTGAAAAAGCTGATCTGAAGATATGACAAAGGCCAAAAATGCATTATGTACATGATAAATAGTTACAAGGATTCTATTAAATAACATTTTTTCTTCTAGTTTCAAAGACAGGTACTCCAGCGTTAATACACACTGCCATTCAATCAATTCAAACGATAAATATTAAATGTTGTAATTTTTCGTATTTTAAAAGAATACGAAAACAATACACTTTTTTGTTTTTAGATGACCCAGATACTGTACGAGCGACAAGAAGAGACAGCACCTGTAGTTTTTACCAACCACCTCCTCCGACTGACATTGAGAAGATGAGGAACAATATGATAAAAGAGCAAAAAGTGTTTATACTTATTAAGGAGATTGTTGGTATGGAAGTACACATGTTGTATTTGTCTTTGTTATTACCATTTTTTTTTAACATATATTGCTATTTCAGCCTACATGGGTTTCATGTGGATGCTCCTGCTTGTGGCTTATGGCCAGAGGGACCCTAACGCATTCTTTCTGACTCAACACATCCGGCAAAGCTTCAGCAAAGGCATCTCTGACACGATGAGTATTCAGGACGTTTTCGATTGGGCCAACACAACACTATTGAGCAACCTTTTTGGCGAATATCCAGGTCTGCATGTTCTGAAGCGCATTCACTCTGAGTTATATGTGTTTCATGTTGAGACTCATTTATCACTCAACAATAGGTACATGAGTGTACTTTTGGGGTTTTCAGTTTTGGTTATGGTTTGGACTCTTTTTGGGACCATAGATGGAAATGGGCATTTGGATAGAACTTGTAATGTTTATCTGTTAAACCATTTACCAAACAATACATCATACATTATGAGTATATTTAGGTCCTATGTTTGTAACACACATATGCTTAAAATCTTGTGTATTACTATTTTTATCTTATATCCCACCTGGTGTGTGATCTTTTGAACAGGTTTCATCACAGATGGAAACTCAAAGCTGGTGGGAAACGCTCGTCTCCGTCAGGTCCGAGTCCAACCTAAATCCTGCCACGTTGCTCAGGCCATGAAGGCGGCCGTGCCCGAGTGTCATGCACTGTACTCTTGGGACATGGAGGACATGGGCTCCTATGGTCCAGGCTGGACTTACACTGTGCCCGATAATGAGACACTCCGTCTGACAAGCCCATGGAAGTATCAGTCTCAGAGAAAGCTGAGGTCCTTCCCCATCTGGGGCAATGTGTTGCTCTACAGAGGCGGAGGCTTTGTGGTGAATCTGGGCCCTGATCATCACAACTCAAGCAGGTGCCAATGTGATAGTTATGCACTTTCACATCTATATACATGTCTCATTTAGACCCATTGATATATACTCTAAGTTAAACAAATAGCTATCAACTCTAAAGAAGGAAATGAAAAGTGTGTTAGCACTATCTGAAGCCGAGGATAATAGCTTTTTATAGTAAATATTAGCAAAATAGTTAGATTATATATTTTTGGCCGTTTACACACAATGTTCAGTGAACCCAAAAACTAAATATGCTACATATGGGAGATTTAGATATGTATTTGCTTTTGTGCTATTAATTTTCTTTTGTTTTGAAGAGTTCTGCAATACCTTTACAACAACACCTGGTTTGATGCTCACACTCAAGCCATTATTGTTGAATTCACTGTGTATAATGCAAATGTGAATCTTTTCTGCATTGTTACTCTTATGCTGGAGACTACTGCCATTGGTGAGTAGCAAACGCCCTTGACTTTGTTCATTTGAAAACATTTCTAATAGTGAATTTATTACAGGTGCTTTTCAGTTCCGCAGTGAACTTCAAAATGTGCGCCTCTATCAGTCTACTGGTGGCTTGCATATTTTTGTGATGGCTTCTGAAGTGATTTACTTCATTTTCATACTGTACTATATGTTTGTGCAGGTTGGTATTGATCAAGTTCATTAAACCCCTGCCATTTTATTGATATTTGTCTCTCATAGGGAAAGTTGATGAGACAACAAAGAAAATCTTATTTTAAAAGCAAGTGGAACTTGCTGGAATTGGCCATTATCCTCCTGAGCTGGAGCGCCTTTTCTGTGTTTATTAAGAGGACTTTATTGGGAAAACGAGACATAGAGTATTATCAGAACAACAAAGACCAGTAAGTTCAACTTTTTAAAATATTGACATTTTAAAAACCTCCTGTCATGAGTCTTGTGGCGAACTGCAGTACTCATTGTGAATGTCTTGTAGATTTGCTAGTTTCCATGAGACGGCCAAGGCAGATGCAGTGCTGGGGTATCTGATTGCGTTCCTGGTGCTGCTGGCTACAATCAAACTGTGGCACCTGCTGAGGCTGAACCCCAAACTGCACATGATCACTGCCACGCTGCAGCGCGCCTGGACTGATATTTCAGGCTTCCTGGTGGTTATCACCATCATGTTCCTGGCCTATTCAATTGCGGTGAGAACTTTCCCACGACAATTCAGCCATTTTGGCAATTTGACCTCACGTGGAACACACAATCTTTATTACACATACTGTATAAAACTAAATTTCTATGCTTTATTTCAGTCCAACCTGATGTACGGCTGGAAACTACACTCCTATAGAACCCTGTTGGACGCTGCTCAGACCATGGTCAGCTTGCAGCTTGGCATTTTCAACTATGAAGAGGTAATTTACAGATTGCTAGCCACTAAACAGTTAACAACGTGATAAGACGGTTTATATAACAGTATGTGGTTTTCTACAGGTTTTGAATTACAACCCAGTGCTTGGAGCGTTCCTCATTGGCTCATGCATTGTGTTTATGACCTTTGTTGTGCTAAATTTGTTTATTTCAGTTATTCTTGTGGCATTCAGTCAAGAACAGATACACCATAAGGTAAAGTTCCCTACTTATGTCACAAAATGAATTCACATTATTTATCAGTTTCATAATCATATTTCCACAGCCATCGCCAGAGGAGGAGATTGTGGACCTAATGCTGATGAAAGTGGGCAGTTTATTTGGGATAAAATGCAAGAATCAAAGTTCTGATGGCTCCAACAACAAAACCAGCTTTGAATAATGGCCTTTAAACCATTTCTTTAAATAATGGAGCATGATATGTTAAAGTATCGTAGAAGCTTCAGGGACTTTCCTGGATTTATTTGCTCAGCTTATGTGAATGTAATTATGTGGCTGATTCTTTTTACTATAATAATGCAACTATAAAGAATATATAGAATATTGAGATACAGTAGAATAGGTCCTTAACAGACTATACTCAATCATGCAACATGTGTAATAAAGGAAAGGGGAATTGATCTGGAATTGCATCTCTCTTTCTTAAATACTGTGGGACTTTGCTCCCGATTTAATAATACATCTATGCTGCTGCCACACTCATTTTTGCATTGTCTACAAGGGGGTAAGTTAAACTAATGTTTCTCTTCTTTTCTCTTTCTCTTCTCTCTTAGTGTATCTGTAACATTCTGACCAAATCAACACTTACCCAATTATCTTGTTTTTTTATTTATTTATAAATGACTGTATAATTATTATTGATCAAATAATGCAGCTTGAATATTAAAACGTGCAACTCTGGAAAATACTTTTTCAAATAACTATGTTTCATACTACTAATTAAAACAACCATACTAGGCCAATAATTCACAAAACAAAAAGAATCAAATAAGCTCTAATATCCATGGTCATAATCTAACTCGGGCTAACTCTAGTCTAAACCATAGCTGTGGGTACATGGCTGTGAGTAGTCTTGGATTTCATCACTGAGGGGCGTGACTCCAGTAAATGACAACAAACCCGTGCGTCTATAGGCGGGCCAAAGTCACCGCAGAGAGAAGGCAGCGCGGCGCAGAAGACAGTACTTTCAGAACTCCACTTCCACCTGCTTGAAGCCGAATTTGCCGACTCCTTATCAGCCGTACGTGAGCTGTCGGTGTCCCGTTTCCTCAGCCGGAGGATTGCGATGCCCTCTGACTTTACGTGGCTCTTCAGCGGAGAACTGGACCTGTGCTCCCCCGCGCCGCGGTGCTGCTCCACAGGTACGACTTTGACCTGGTTTCATTTGTCCCACAGGATCAGTCTGTGGAGTGAGTTTGGCTTCATGTGTCCGACAAGATCAGTCTGTGGAGTGAGTTTGGCTTCATGTGTCCGACAGGATCAGTCTGTGGAGTGAGTTTGGCGTAATGTGTCCCACAGGATCAGTCTGTGGAGTGAGTTTGGCGTAATGTGTCCCACGGGATCAGTCTGTGGAGTGAGTTTGGCGTAATGTGTCCCACAGCATCAGTCTGTGGAGTGAGTTTGGCGTAATGTGTCCCACAGGATCAGTCTGTGGAGTGAGTTTGGCGTAATGTGTCCCACAGGATCAGTCTGTGGAGTGAGAGCTCATGGCTCATGCTCATCTTCAGAGTTGAACTTTATAAACCATTAGAGAGCCTTGACACTTTGAAGCTCTACAGCCAGGCTTGTTTTGGAGCAGAGGATTGACTTGAGGTTTCTGAGCCCCTGTTCATTGTCAGAGAAGCCCTTTGGCACACACCGGTCCGACCGGTTTAGTGTTCCCACTGACATGAGGCGCACTTTCCTCATCTTGTGCTTTATGGAGTCATCAGGCACAGTTTGCCCCCCCCCACTGACGCACCAGGTGAACAACATTTGCCATATTTTCAGAGGCCCAATCCCAATACCCACACTGCACCCTACACTCCTCTACGAAGTGTGCATTTGTTTGAAGTGCACGCAAGGGTTGAGTGCGCAGGTTACAAGCGTGCAAAAAAAGTCAGAATTGGGACAGTGCACACTGAGTGCAGGTTACGTCATCGACTAGTCAAGAGATGGTCATTTTCAGACCTAAACTTTATACAAATTAAAGGTAATTTTGTCTAACCCTGTGGGAAACAAAATGAGTTGAATGAGTTGCTCCACACGGTAAAATAAATGTATATTGGTTATTTGTAATTTGAGATAGCTGTATAATTTTAAGTTAAATGTGGGTAACTAACTGTTATCTGGTCAGTTTTTATACATCCTAAGTTCATTGTACTAAGTGTAAAGTTTAAATTGAATGTTACATGAACGCTTGCTTTAAAAAGTTCTTAAATTGTTACAATACAATGACCGTATTTCTTCATCAGTCATTTATGCTTCTATCCAAGTAACACAGTAAAACTTACTTACACACATACAGCATATTTATTTCAAAACTTACACATTAATGCATTTTCCCCGACGTTTTGGTGTGTACCGCAATGAATTATGGGCAATATTCTTCTTGGGCTCAAGCTACGGCGAAGTGTGGATCAGGGGCGCAAAGGGGGCGGGGCCAAAGACCTCCTTGGGGACACCCTACGCACTCGCACCCATCATCGGGAACGCGAAAATGAGGGCGCCAGGGTGGAAGTGCGAGTATTAGGACTGGGCCAGTGTCTCTACTTATACTGTTTACCTTGTGTTGGTTTAACTTATGATTTCTATGCGTATTCTCCTGTTTCCAACTTATCATCTGCTGAAAGGGCACCACACACGTCTTAAATGAAATATATTTTACTTTTATAAAACTGGATCAAAGCTAGGACGTGGGAAAATAAATGTTTATATGTAGATATGTACACAACATTTTTGGCCAAAATAATTTACTATGTATTTATGAAAACACTCTTGAGACACTGAAAAGTAATCAAACCATGTGTACAATTATACTAACACCATTTATTGTATTGAGATCAAAGTCTCATTGGAAAAAAAGATTTCATAAGATAAATAAAATCTTTTATTTTGTTTCTCCGCTGTCTGGTCACTGATTAACCCTGCGGCTGCCCTCTGTGTTTAAACCTGAGCTTAAATAGTACTCTATTCATATTGACTTGGCTCCGTTAAGTAAACTTGGCAGCATGTGGATAAAACACTTGATTGCACTGAAAGCATGCTCATATTATATGATGAAAGAGCACTAGGAGATCACAATAAACTCAAAGTTACACAATGTACAGTTCACAGGATACAGTACATATACATTTCCTTTAAACAAACACACCTATAGGATCAAATGTGCCACATATTATGGTAGTAACAGAGTCTCTGAGTTATAACCTCAGGCAGTAAACATTATAGCCAGTTCTGAAAAGCTAAGTAAGTAAGTGTTTATTTATATACCGCCTTTTCACTGCAGATCTGAGTCTCAAAGCGGTTTACAATTGTTAATTTTTGGGCAATTGTCTCTCACTCCACACAGAGATGGGAGCGGGGTCGCCAGTACAGGAGGCGCATGCCAGAACTATTGGACATATTTTTAGTGGTAGGGGAAACCGGAGTACCCGGAGGAAACCTACGCAGACACGGGGAGAACATGCAAACTCCACTCAGAAAGGCCCTGGTCCGACCGGGATTCGAACCCAGGACCTTCTTGCTGAGAGGCGAGAGTGCTATCCACTCAGCCACCTATTAAACATATTTTTACTTGCAAGAGCTTGCATCACTTTGAGTGCCATCAAAACCTTTACAAAGTGCGAAACTGTCCATTGAACCTATACAGTGCACTTTAGAGCAGTGGTTGGAATATGTCTTCAGACGTCTCATTCTAAGAATATTCAACATTTGCATGACAGCTACAGTATATTTCAATAGGTTATAGGTAATTTCTTCTGTTTTTTCTTTAGATCTCATTTATGATAAACTCTTTTCCATAACAAGTCTAATCAGGTTGAGGTCAACAGAGATATTTATTGCACACCTTTGTTGAGAGATTGCGACCCATCTCTTCAAAACTGTTTAACCTGTTTAAGATATGTCACCTCGTCAAGTGCCGCTAACTTCAGTCACCCACATGAGAGCGGTTCTCTTTGAATGAGTACCGCAGTGACACCATTATGTGGCGGACCTTTGTCTCCTGTTGTAGGTTAGCAGGTGACTTTGGTGCTAATGGCACCTCAAGCTCAATAAAAATCCTTGTTTGGTATTTGTAAATGACTACAGAGAAAACATTTATTTTACTTTTGGTCTTGGCTGAAATGCAAAACAGCACAAGTGGAGATTGTATCCAGACAGCAGGTTATTGAGGTTCACTTGGTGAGAAGCGTATAATTTTCAGTTTTTGTTGAATTAGTGGCATTTAGCAACATTTATGTTGCTTGAATGCACCACACTTTGTTACTATTTACTTAATAAAGACATGCTATCTTTATCTCGTTAGAAAACATTTGATCTTTAACATACTGAGTGCTGATTGGCTGTTTGAAGGCTATTTGTGATCTAATGTGATCATTTGTGATCAGCGGCACGGTGGCTGAGTGGATAGCACTCTCGCCTCTCAGCAAGAAGGTCCTGGGTTCGAACCCCGGCCGGACCAGGGCCTTTCTGAGTGGAGTTTGCATGTTCTCCCCGTGTCTGCGTAGGTTTCCTCCGGGTACTCCGGTTTCCCCTACCACTAAAAATATGTACAATAGGTCTGGCATGCGCCTCCTGTTCGGCGACCCCGCTCCCATCTCTGTGTGGAGTGAGAGGACAAATGCCCAAAAGTAACAATTGTAAACCGCTTTGTGACTCTGGTCTGTGAAAGGCGGTATATAAATAAAGCTTACTTACTTACTAAAGATGTGACAGAGGCGAACAAGACATGCATGTGACCACTAGTGATAGAACCAACAGTTTTGTGATCAAGGAGCTAGTTACATGGATGCTATTGCATATTTTTGTGCTTTCAAAGCTAGGTGCTCCAGCACCTATATTTCTTATTTGGATCACAGAGGGTTTTTTGATTTGTTTTGTTCTTAGTCATGCTTCCTTGGACCGGCAGGATTCAACAGCCCTGCACTTGGTATTTCCACATGCATCCTGTCTTTGTTCCAAATGTCTCCATAGTAATGGTCTTCAAGTTCTTTGATAAACTCTTTCATAACTACCAGACATTTATGTTTGCACATGTAAATTATTCTTGATGATTTCAGTATTTATTTGCAGTGGAGGTGCCAATGAACCGCATCAACCGCACCGGATGTTTTGTTTACAATCAGTGTTCGTAGTAAATTTTGGACTGCTCTTCTTCCTCTTTCTCAAAGAAAAACATTTAGTCACTGACAGCTAGCTTACTCAGTAAATGTGTGTATATATATATATATGTATATGTATGTATGTATATATGTATATATGTGTGTGTGTATATATGTATATGTGTATATATATATATATATATATACATCCTGATCATGAAGGACCCTGGCAAGGGTGCAGTCCCCTCCAACTACCGGCCAATAACCTGTCTCTCCACAACATGGAAGCTCATGTCAGGCATCATTGCGGCTAAGATAAGTGGGCATATGAAACAATTCATGAGCACAGCACAGAAGGGCATTGGTAGAGACACCAGAGGAGCCAAACACCAGCTCCTGGTTGACAGAACAGTCGCCCAAGACTGCCGGTCACGACACACCAACCTGTGCACAGCCTGGATTGATTACCAGAAAGCCTACGACTCAATGCCACACACATGGATCATGGTCATGCTTGAAGTTGTACAATATCAACAGGGCTCTAAGGGACTTCGTTGCAAACTCGATGGGAATGTGGAAGACCACCCTTGAGGCAAATGGCAAGCCGCTCGCACAAGTGACCATCAAATGTGGTATCTACCAAGGAGATGCTCTGTCCCCACTACTGTTCTGCATAGGCCTCAACCCTCTAAGCCAAGTAATTGACCAGACTGGCTATGGATACCGCCTCAGGAACGGAGCAAAGATCAGTCACCTCCTCTACATGGATGACATCAAGCTGTACGCCAAGAGCGAGAGAGACATCGACTCTCTGATCCAAACAACCAGGATCTACAGCCATGACATCGGGATGTCATTCGGGCTCGAGAAATGTAGCAGGATGGTGACTCGGAGAGGCAAGGTAGTCCACACAGAAGGGATCTCACTCCCAGAGGGAACAATAGCAGACGTTGAGGACAGTTACAAGTATCTCGGTATACCACAGACAAATGGCAACCTCGAACAGGTGACGAGGAAAGCGGTAACTGCCAAATACCTCCAGCGAGTAAGGCAGGTCC